ATCCATCTTACTAGAAAAATTTAATCTAGACGCATTGCGATCAATATGTGGTGCAGTTTGAAGAACAAGTCACAACATGATATATGTAGAAACTAACCAAAAACCGCTGAAAGAACGTAGATATATTTCTAAGCTGACAACATTTTATAAAATGAAGAATAATCTCTCGCCTCAATATCTCTTACCTACAATACCCAATACTAATGATTAGAAACTTAGTGGAAATTCATCACTGCGAACAGTTGAACGGCAATATATGCCAGATCACTTTTATCTGATACAATAAAACTATGGAATTCACTAAGTCCTGAAATTCAAAACAGTGATACTTTTTCCCGATTCAAAAATTGGTTGTGTAGACTTAATAAGAAAACTATTATCTTTGACCTTAACTTTGGCTCCAGAATATACCATATTATCCATTCTCGCCTCAGGCTCCCTTGTAGTGATTTGAATGCCTATAGGTTTGATAGACATATCATCGGGAGCGCCTCGTGCTCATCCAATCGAAAGGCTGTACGTTATTTTTTCACATACAATAAATACATGAAATTACGACAAAAAATATCTATTCAAAGGGATTTAGTATCAACATGGTATTAACGTGGATGTGCATCGCTCACTAGCAATGATCTACACAAATTATTGAAATCTATTCATGTTTACATAATACAATCTGATCAATTTGATGTTTCATAAATACTTCAATATGGATTGCCAAACAAACAAATCGATATTTATGCATTATCCTTAACTTGATTGCTGATAAATAAGAATTGTATCATGATTGTGTCATCTGTTTCTGTATTTACTGGTATATGTATTTGTATAGGCCTTAAAAATATGTTGTGGTTCCGATTACCCGACCGACCCTTGAATTCTGGTGCCGACCCTAATTTGTTTTTAAGCGGAATGATTATAAAATGAGCTTTCAGATGACATTGTTTTTTTCTGGCACCAACAGATATCGGTCATTCTGATAGAGAAAGTCGATATGATGACCGCAATCTTGATTGAATAAACAATTACACATTGATAAATGTGTTATTAGGTTGTACTTTACTTCTAATAAAATCTGTAAAAAAAATAATTCCGACCTACCTACCCTAAATTTTAGAGGTGTAATCGGAACCACAGCATTTTTTTTGTTTGGCCAATTATGGGAGAGGCCTTCAAATGAGCTCCTCGATCGGAGCTTGTTGGCCAACCCATTCATGATCTTTATGTTTTCATGAATAAAAGTATGTTCAAATCACATCATATGTTTAGGAAGCCTTCCAGCGACGATATTATTAATCTGCAGAATAAGCTTAATATTTGTTACATCCTCGCTATAATGACAGGATACCAAAACATCATGTACATGGCCAGAGGCCATTTATTATGGCTTGTGTCAGTAAAAGTTTCTCTCTGTCTGTCTTTAACGGTAGGGGTACAAAAGGTTAAAACATTCCTTGTTATTGCTTAAATTCTTGTCAAGCACATTGTTGAATACATGTACTAATCGGAGATCTAGCATAATCTTGATTTTGATTTAAAATATATAATTCCATTTAACAAAATAGACTAAAATAATTCACCCGTACTACGTTTTCTTTGACAAAAATTATGCCAAGACCTTTCACTGAACTTAACATTAATACTAACGGTTCTTTGGATGAGGCAACTGTTCAACGGTAAACTTCAAAGTAAGCGCACCTGCTTGTCGGCTCTCGTAATTGACAGTTATTGACAGATATTGGCATGTTTGCCTGCACGTGCACAGACAGTAAGATGGACAGTCAGGTGACTATGAGATTACGTATAGCGGTAGTGACCATTGTCCGAGATATTGATTGACCTGTGACTGATCGCGGTGTTGACGGTGATGACCGCTAGCCTGGACAGGCTACCATAGCTGGATGCTTCGTAATTCTAACGTAAATATTACACGGACAGGCTGTTTGATGTTGTTTCAATGAAGTTCATTAGCTGGTTTTAATTACTGTTTGGATACATGATATAGCTGATGGATTGATTGCAGACTGTTGAGCACTTTGAATGGACAAACGGGTTTACTAAGGAAGTTCTTTAGCGGATGGGGTTTTTCTTCGCAATCGACACTTTGATTTGAAGAAAAGAAACTACGGTCGCATTTGTCAGAACTGTACCGGTGTTCCATCTGGGAACTTTGATAGATGCGAACGATTAGGTGCATCTAACTTACTTTGAAGACATGTAGTGTCAGATATAATTAAATCAGTTGGAACTGTTCAATATGCTCACTTTAAAAATACAGCATACTACATATATTTTGTTCTATATATTTAGGTGTGTGTGTAGGGGGGCGAGGCGAGGCCATGAAACTAGACGTTTTTCACCATGAGTACTATTTATTCAATTGTTTTTGTGCGTATTTCTTGGTGGTAGTTAAAATAAATATTAAAAGTTAAAACATTCTGTAATTAGTTAATTCAAAGTCTGGATTGTCTAGTGGAGACTCTAACATTTACAGAACCCACCATGTACCTGGAATATTCCTGAGTGCGGCGTTAAACAACCAACCAACCAACAAACAAGTTCATTCCAAACACTCCACTCTGTTACCATAATAGCCGGGGCCCCGCTTCACAAAGCTCTCGTAAGCCTAAGATCTCGTAACTTTTCTCGCAGCATTTGAACCTTCTATACTGTAACACAGAATGAATACTTCGAGAAAAGTAACGAGATTTTAGGCTTACGAGAGCTTTGTGAAACGGGGCCCAGGTTCATGTGTTACGTCATTCGTGATGGTCGTTGTCTGACACGCCCACCTGACACTGGTAAGATAATGACATCCACTTGAAAAGCTGGTTTACATAATTTGCTAATACGGCGTCGAAGTTTACCGTGCAGGATAAAGGGTGATTTCCTTTCACTGTTATATTAATTACATCAGTTTAAGGATAACAATGCAGGACTACATCCACGTAACGTCAATCTTACGCCCTCACCCTGGACACGAAAATCATAAACGTCTTGTTGGTTTGGGTAAAGGCATGAGTAGATTCCAACCCGTTCCAGATATTTCAGATCGTTCTAAATATCAGTTGTTGTGACTTTGTATTAGCATAAAGAAACTACTTTAATAGCCAGCTTATTCATATAAAGCCAAAGGTATTCGAATTCGTTTTGAAAGTGCTTTTCTGCAAAATAACAATATCCATTAAAGTTGTTTTTAAGTGAGACAGTTCTCACAAACGTCGACTGAATATTGTTCAACGCCGCACCAGTCATATTCAGCTATTCGCGGCTACACACGAGTAGAAAACATGCTGCTTAACATTTATATAACCTTAGTATCCACAAGGGAGGTACATCGTACTGCATGTTTGGAGATGGTCGTGTACAAATGGGATGTGATTTGAGCAAGGCAAAGGGTGTATATTAAGCTATTTTCAAGTAAATATTTTTAAAAAAGTAAACGAGGAGTAAAAGAATTCCGTTTTATCAAACATTGCACAAAGCGTTCGAATCACATCCGAAGCCGACTGAAAACCACTCGGACCCACAGCTTCTGTTTTCTGCAGGTCATTATGGCCGACAACTCTTTCATTCCCAATTACTGACACCCCCTGTCTGAACATTCTGATTCAGACTTTTCAGAAGACTTGGATCTTGACATGGATGTTGATTTTGTTGTAAATAAAGACTAGTCACTCACTGGAGTTTAATTAAACTCTTTAACTCAGTTTGTTAGTTTGCAGGGATTTCCTTATATTGTAGCTGGCCCGTGAAGATCCGGGTTAGAATTGATCTTCAATAACCCACGCTTGTCGTAAGAGGCGACTAACGGGATTGGGTGGTCAGGCTCGCTGACTTGGTTGACACATGTCATCGTATCCCAGTTGTGTAGACCGATGCTTGTGCTGTTGATCACTGGATTGTCTTATCCAGACTCGATTATTTACAGACCGCTGCCACATAGCTGGAATATTGCAGAGTGTGGCGTAAAACTAAACTCACACTCACTCACAATCTTGTAGCTAAAATATAGGGCCTACACATTCTGATCAGGACCCACAACTTTTTATGGTTCTGGCTAGCTATTCTCGTTCGTAGTCCTACGAACTTCTTAAGCCCATTCTTAACACACTGGCTACGATCAAAGTTAAGAATTCTTAGGGCTACGAACGTTTCGAGAATAAGAGCCCTGGGTCCCTAGGGCCTGCAGCATTTCAGGGTTAAGGGCAAACACTGATTGCACAGATAGTGTTTGTGTTGAGAAAACTGCACGGGAGAATGTCAATCATTCTTGAAGCTTTGCTTCTTCCCAAATAAAATCATTCATTGTATACAATTCTAAACAACCTCAGAAAGGGATATTGTGTTAATTCATTCTCACGACAATCGGGAGAAAACAACGTGTATAAATATTTAATTTGTTTATTATGAAGTGAGACTTAACATGAGTGAGAGCCAGCCCAAGTCGCATCATTTCCAAAACAGCCAGTCAGCTTTGTCCCTTCGTTAATTTTTGACACTGAATATTTCTATCATCTGGTGAGTATTATACAACGTATGGATTTTAAGTCCTTCATATCATACAAAAGTTCGTAATTTTGTCAATCAATATTTAGATAACCGCTACATGTCCATCCAAGTTCATAAGGATCACCGTATCGATCCTTTGGCACCTCCTGTGTCACGTGACCCATTGATCAGGACAACGATGCCGTACTTGCGGTAACCACTAACTTGATGCATGACGGGAACAGTATGCCTCGTACTATAACATTTGTTAAAAACAGAGCATCTTTTCTTTCAAAAAGTATGACACCTGAGATGTGTGGTGTGGATTCGGATGTTTGCGAAGAATACCGAGAAATGGCGAAAAGGTTACGGAAGATTGGAGATGAAATATGGAAAACACGTGACGGAAAAAAGATGAAAATACTTCAAAGAAGTTCTTTTCGATGTGGATTTTCTGTGGGACATGTACTTTTCACGTGTGCTTGTATATTACATTGCCTTTGATCCATGCGAGGGAGCTGTGTGTGAGAGTTCTAGTGGTAAGTTGTGGATATTTTACTCCGGAATACTGGTACGGTTGTGGGTGGGAGAACTGGTGGGTGCTGAAGTAGAAAACCAGTCCTAAAAGTTTGTTATTTAAGATATGAGCGACATTTGGTTAAATATTCTTAAATCCCGAAACAATAAATATTTAAACTATTGAATAGATATAGCCGATATTCAATTCGGATCAGTTAGCTGATATAAGGACATGTATAAACAATGGTGTCCTCTCATTCTGCCTACAGCTAAAACAACACATGCAAGTCATGGTTTGTTGGTCACAACTGTGTAGACAGAATGAGAAAGCGATAGATAGTACTTGATCCTACCTCCCCACAAGAAAACATGGAAGAATTTGTTTTGGTTTTTTTTTTGTCTTTTTTTTTTTTTAGTGTGTCTTCGGTTTTTTGTTTGAGTTGAAAGACCACATTAAGTGGATTATTGTTTTTGCCTTTCAAGCCAAATATAATATTTTCATGAGAGAACTTGATATTCCCTTCGGATAACATGTGAAGCCAACTGGATACTTCCTTTCATATGTCTGTAGGCAGAATGAGATGTAGGCAGAATGAGATGTAGGCAGAGTGAGATGCAGGCTAAAAGTGAGAGTATTAATGCCCGAAAAAATTCTTGACTTGACTCATTTTTATTTTCACAATAGAAAAATTCAACTTTGACTCAAAATGTGCATGATTTTTTTACACTTCTATGTTTAGATTTTCTATCGGGGAAGAGGTGTAAATTTCCACAGAAATCAAAGGGTTTTGGACACAAAATAAAATAACATGTAAAAACAAAATGTGATGAGAAACAGGAATATTCTTTATGTGGCCTACTGTAATGATGTCTGGTCAAGGAGGGAATCTGATGCTGATTGTTTCTGAAGTCCAGTTTCTTTTAAATGATTAGAAACTGAAACATTATTTATTTTTTTCATAATGGTTCTGCAACCTGTATCGGATATTTCTAAAAGATGCAGGTAGTTGTTTACAAATCCCGTTATTCACACATTAAAAAGTGGAGATAGAAACATCAGAGTCTACAAATCTGTTAACGTTAAGCTTTCAATTTCTGAAATCCTGATATTTACATATCCCATATTGTAAAGATTGTCAATAAAGGAAATCCATTTGTTGCGAAAAGTGTTTGCCATATATTGTGCATTATTCATTAAATGTCTAAAGGACATGTCCTTAATGTATTCTAATGTTCATTAGGATCGATATTTCAGGGCAGTACTCCCGCTACCCCATATCACATCAATAACCATGCATTCTTTCCTATTTATTTTTCAAATCTGATTTAACTGCGCTGAAATCGTTCGAATATTTCAATATTTTCAAAGCCCAACCCTGCAGAACAGGATGACAGTAATATTACTGTGACCAAGATATTTTCTGGATTTTTGCTTCTTATTCTTTCCCGCACAATAAGAGGCGACTAACGGGATCGGGTGGTCAAACTCGCTGACTTCCCAATTGTGCAGATCGATGCTCATGCTGTTGATCACTGGATTGTCTGGTCCAGACTCGATTATTTACAGACCGCCGCCATATCGCTGGAATATTGCTGAGTGTGGCATAAAACTAAACTCAGGTGAAGTCACTTCATCTGATGAAGGGATCTGTAATGATCCCCAAACGTTGTGTGGGAAAGAATACAGAAGCAAAAATCCATAAAATATCTTGGTAATCTGTAACAACTTCTAAACGCCTCTAAAAGACATAATATTACTGCGGTTTGATGTTGCTCTCGTTTCAAAATATCATGGTCGAAGAAACTTTAAATCAAGATCAATGTCAATTTGAAACTTTTCAACAACAAAATATATAATAATTCTTGCACTTTTTGTATGTAAAGCAGTTTAATATTTCATCGAAATTATGACGCATATGTATAAAGGTACAATGTATACAGAAACATCGGTTAGACTACATAGTACAGATATCTTTTCAATCTCTTCCAGACTAGATGGATAAAGGCTTAACAGAACATCGTTGGTTGGGAAGACTGATAACACGGGTATTGCCAGTTCGACCACAGGTGACAAAAGTATCATGTTAACAGGGGACATGGCTGTCGTACTGGACATGATGGGCAGATTCAAGCAGGAAATCTTATATATTTCGTACTCAAGGCCGAGTAGGAGTTAGCTTTGTGCTGTGAAGATTCGCAACACTAAATGGCTTGGTGGACCAGTGTGCGAAATACGCATTGTGTCGGAAAGCGCACATCGCCAAATCATCATCATCGAAAACACGAGATCAAACCCCCGTTGGGGTTCAGCGAGGCTATTTAACTTCTTCGCGTCGGAATACACATATTTATTATTAGCCCAAACATTAGGACTTTTAAACATTTTTCATTGTCAGTTTTGTATCGTGTATAAAAAGGAGAAAACTTGACTGAGGTCGGAGTTGTGTCAGTTGCCTTAAACTGGAATTCATCAATATGAACTCACTCACTGCTGTTGTTTATTTTCTCGGACTTCCAAGTGATGGTTGCGTGACACGCACGTGAATAACGGACATTTGTGAACGCTTTCCTCCACCCAGCCGCACGAGGTTTACATGCAGCATGCATGTCACTTGTGACGTTTTTTTCACAGCCGTGCCGGAATCAGAGAAACAAATGTGGAGATAAAATGTGTGCGTATCGGAAATATACGTCAGCTAATTGTAATAATTGTTGTTAGTTCTTGTGCTGGTGCGTTTGTTATTCAGAGTGAGTGAGTTTGGTTTTACGCCGCTTTCAGCAATATTCCAGCAATATCACGGCGGTGGACACCAGAAATGGGCTTCACACATTGTACCCATGTAAGGAGTCGAACCCAGTATTCGACCTGACGAGCGAACGCTGTAACCACTAGGCTACCCACTGTCCTTGTTTTTCAGGTCTAAGCGGAACAATATATTCATGGACACTTGGTAACAATCTTTCTTGGCCGTCACAGTTGTACATGTAGTTTGACATACATTATTATACCCCACATCCTTCTTTACATTATGGGAAAATACTAACGCAGGTGAATTGTATATGTATTTATTCCTCTAGAATACACATACTACATACAGGTGGTACAGTTGAGCAGCCATGTTGTGCCTTAGATGTGTTACATATATCTGTCTCAAATATGCATGCAAAGTAATTCAAAGGCTGCAAGCTTCTCAAGACTCTACAGGATCCGCTGACACCAGGCTAGTGGTGTTCGTGTGACTCAATAAGACTATATGTGATTTCCCAAATGAGTAAAAATAAGATCGGAGAGTGTCATAAAATCCTTTGCAATAACTGACCATTTACGAAAATTATTTTTACAAAGAAACAAAATCGCTGTAAAAAAGGTGTTTTCCCAATGGGATCCAACTAATTGTTTTAAGTGGAGGGGGTGGAATATTTTTTTTAATAAGACCATGATTTATTTAAACGTATTACGTTTGACCCGCATTGTAGGAACAGAATTAATTCCCTTACAGATAAATGCCTAAAACAGGCAACTATCCATGTTGGAAAATATAACTCACCTGAAAATTTATCAAAAATGGTAATCTCAAACCAAAATGCCCCAACCCCCCCTCCTAAATGGTTACACTCTTAACAGGTAAATGGTGTGCAAATGGTCTAGATATGACGTAATTGCTTCAGAAACGATTGTTACGCATGATATGCCGTGTAAAGGTTAGTGAACGTTCAGTACGGTCAGATACTGCTTGTTTGCCCTATCGGAGTTGGGTTTCATACCCTTGGAATATTAGAAACATAAAAAAACTATTTGAGTGTATTTTGTTTGGTCCAACGGTAAATGTGTGTCTGAAGGCCTGACTATTGAGAAACACGACATTCGTCAACACTCGGCTCTTTCCATAAACCACAGTCGACATTCTTATTTTAATTGCCCATCTTTAGCTGCAAGACCGGAATGACACGAGTGGTCACGAATGTATACGATTGTTTGTCATAAGTATAAACATATAAGAAAATTAAGAAAGCAACTTCATTTGAACTTGTTACTAAAACAACGTATGAACCATACAACTGATTAGTACATTTGGTTAAAATACCGTCGTTATTGACAAGCTCTGTGAATTAAATCAAATTCAAAGAATTTGAATGACGGTGGTGTCCATTCACGGCTACGTGCAACAACTAATTATTTTTAACAAAAACGTATACCATCTCTACATATTTAGACGAATTTGACGTTTGTGTGAAAGTATGTACAAAGTGGATGAGGTGAGATTAACTGATGTGGAAGGTGAAAACATGCAGCGACGCCCATAGAGATATTACATGGAAGTTCAGATTCGATCGAGGACAGAAATCGCTGGCTATTACTATCAGCGTATCATCCAACAAGACCCGGCTGATTGATGTTAACTTTGAAAAGCCTCCCCGCAAACAGGCGTGGTGATCTCAATCAGGTCAACGTCAGTAAAAAATACAATGTATTGTGTGAGCTACATTAAAACGTGACGTCATGAGAAGTTATTACATAGATTATTATTCAATATTATTTTTACTATTATTATACAATGCTGAGCTATGGGGTATTGTTTTTAGGAGGGTATATTTGTTAGATTACTAAATTACTATTGAACGTAAAAAATACATAATGTTACTGTTATCACTTCCTCGTGTTGAGTAATACCTAGTGGTGATTCATTCAACTATTTCCTCAAATGACAAGATGTACACACAATCATTAATGGTGAAACAATTAATGTGCTTGATGTGCTTCAAGTTTTGGGAGTTTTTTTAGTTTTACGCCGCACTCAGCAATATTCCATCTATATGGCGGAAGTCTGTAAATAAAGAATCTGGACCAGACAATCTGATCAACAGCATGAGCATCGATATACGTATTTGGGAAACGATGACATCTGTCAACCGAGTCAGTGAGTCTGACCTCCCGATCACGTTAGTCGCCTCTTACAAGCATGGGGTGCAGAAGACCAGGGTCTTCACGGGTCTGATTTGTTTCAGTGAGTGATTGAGTTTAGTTTTACGCCGCTTTTGGCAACATTCCAGCAATATCACGGCGGGGGGCACCAGAAATGGGCCTCATACATTGTACCCATGTGGGGAATCGAACCCGGGACTTTGGCGTGACGATCGAACGCTTTAACCACTAGGCTACCTCACCGCCCCGATTTGTTTCAGAGCAACATCGGCTAACATTGACTATTTACTTTACAACAAATACCGATGGCATGGAGAGCCTGTAGGTTGTGATACAGTGTTATAACGTTAGAAGTGGGCACCAGCACACTGAGACACGGACAGTGGACCTCGTACTTCTACATACATATTTACATAGAGATGCTCATGTTATTGTGGCGCATGAAAACTCCACACTTACGGCAACAAATCAACAAACAACTTATTGAAAACAACAACAAAACAATCCAATGTGTACAACCACAATACAGAGACTGTTGAAAGCGGTTCATCATTCATAGGCGCAGTTGAGCTGTAAGTTCCCACTTTCAGCTTTAACGTTTCGCGAAGACGTCCCTCGTACCACCATGCAATTCGTAGGTAAGGTACAGTTTCACAAACGAGCAAGTGGTTTGGTTTCCCCCGATGCTCTCACTCTGGGCGTTTCAAGGTGACAGCCCTCGCATCTACATGAAGTTCGTATGCAAGGTTTGGCTTCACGACCAAGCTGTTTGTTATATACCGACTTGCTATTGTTTTACATAGAAACATAAGTCTGCGTTGGGCATTCATATATAGTATATGCTCATATCTACATTTCTGTTGCAGATACCCAAGAATACGTTGTTTGCTAACAACCGTTATACATTCTTTGGCTTCCTCTCAAATATATGCGGTTAAGGAACAGCAGATGTGTACATGAAATACATGACATTATATTAATGTGATTAAAGAAACAAACAGTTTTTGTGTGTGTTGGGAACTGAATATATTTTTCAGAAAGACACCAAAACGTATTTTTACTCAAAACATGTTTATCGATCAATGTATTTTGGGAGAGTAAAAATTGTGTCCTATTGTTGGCAATTACAGATAGAATTTGACTTTGTACAGGGTCTTAGGTAAGGCTATTTTCCCCCTTGTATATAGTGGTAATCGGATAAGGTAAGATGTTAGTGACAGGTGAAGTCACTGGCGGTGATTACAGTGCACAAACACCCTGGGACTTCCCATTGCACCTTCTCAATTCACAATCGTGCACTGATTAATACGCACGTTCTGCACGGGAATACGAGGTAGACTCGACAACGCCTGCCATGCTCGGATGTGTTAGCACATGCTTCTTGGGTCGCGACTAAACTTCATGAATTTCGTGCAATGATCTGCACGTGCTCCACGAGGATTTGGGACGAGGACTTGCCTAACGTAAACACAAACATATACTGAAAGTCGTTGACATTATCGACACGCTGAGATCAAGAGAAACGTTCAAGTTCATGCAGAATCTGTTTAGGTGGGAAAGTCTATCTAAGACAGGGTGATCGATGACACTATTGGTTCTACCAATAGCTACATTCTCAATCAAGATGCACACCTTGCAAGGAATCGAGCTGCACTTAGAAAAAGAACATGACATATTAAAATGTTATGCTTGTTTTATTTAGTTTACACATCAATTCAACAAAATCATATTCTCTACAGTAACTTGAACAACACAGTAGAAATATACAGGGAAACGGGACAAAATATAACAAACATGCTATCTTCATGCTGTTGCTTTCACGCCTTAGATTCTAACTGAGGCATAGTATTATCTAGCTTCACCAACACAAGAGTTACACAACATCCTACAGTGTTCAAACTTGCACTTAGCTAAACGACTATAAACATCACAGACCAAAAATGGTAAGACACTCCATAAAGCTGACAATCTGCATTAAACTGGAAAATATGTCACATAATGTTTCTATCTTTTAATGGCTAAGGCAATTTGTCTTTTCAAAATAGATATAAATATATCAGGGATGGCAACATGAAATCTATTTTCACCTGAAAACTTATTGGTTATCAACAGGTGGGTGGGGTGTGTTTCAGAATTGATCAATATGTAATAAGATCAGCAGAAATCCGCAAATCAGCTGAAAATTGCCATCCCTGATGAATACATATTCAAAGCTTAAATATGCAAGCATCTTTAACTAGAATTGTTTTTCTTTGTTTGTTTTTAAATAATGTTGCAAATATATATCTCAAATATGGTAGAACCCCTATGTTTTGACATGTTTCTCAAAACTATCAGTACACTTGCAGGTAGTCAGTCAGGTGTATCCCTATAAACACAGTAACAATTTGATTTGTTGAGTGACAGTGAAGCTACATACACCATGCAGTCCGCTACTGACATCACAAGATATGACATTGCACTTGACACATGCACAATATCAAGAAATACACAAGCAGGGGAGTGAAATGGATCACACTTGACCGACTGAGATTACCTCCCTTTGCTCCACAATATCTCAAACAAGTTTAGTCTTCAACATAAAATCTAGGCAACAGTAGTGAGTGTGTGTTTTTTTACACCGCTTTTAGCAATATTCCCGCAACATTATGGCGGGGAACACCAGAAATGGGCTTCACATTGTACCCATGTGGGGAATCGAAGCCGGGTCTCTGGTGTGACAAGCGAATGCTTTACACCACTAGGTTACTCCACCATCCTTACAGTAATGCGAAGACACTGATAGTTATTTACACTGATGATCTACTCGTCATCAAATATATCTTTCTAATGTAGTTGTATCCCGAATTAAAGAAACTGTGATTTTGATTACATGAACTGAAAAACAACATTATTAATGTCAATTGTTTGCACTGGTTATGAAATGAAGATGGCTATTTCGATGATTGAAATCAAATTCCTGTGACCTTAAAAAACAATCTGTGACAATATGTTATAAACAAGCTCCAAACCTGAAGAAAGAAAAAATATACAATCTTCTTGGAATGAAACTTTTGTTATAAAAGCGATTGAAATAGGCATACTGAGACTTCCATGATTTCTCAATGTAAAACATGTTTCGTACCTTTGTAAATGATAAGATTTTGAGGTACCTGTTACCTGACGAATATTTTCCAGGTTATTCATAAATCTCACATATATTTTGAATGTATAATTATTATGAAATCAATACTTGTCAATTTCACGTCATTTTCATGTCAGTTTCAGTGTGATCCATGTCCCCTCCCACCATGTATGACTTCCAATATTATAAATACAAAGCACATTACATGTAGATTTGCACTAGGTGTCTACTGAGTATCACAAACTACAGGCAGGTGCTTGCTGTGCACTCCAGCAGTTGCAAGCAAATCATCATCGTTGAATGGATTTAGCTCAATATTGAAGGATGGGAGGAAACTGATCATTATGAACATGGTATATACAATGGCTAACTCCGCAAATACAAGATTGTAAACGAAGGTGACGACAGTTTCATCTTATGATCACATTCAGTACCAGTCTCATTATGGTGGGTGTGGGGAGGGGTGGACATGTTTAGGCAGATTCTCTGGTGGGGAGGGGTGGACATGTTTAGGCAGATTCTCTGGTGGGGAGGGGTGGACATGTTTAGGCCAATTCCTGGTGGGTGTGGGGAGGGGTGGACATGTTTAGGCCGATTCTCTGGTGGGGAGGGGTGGACATGTGGACATGTTTGTGGGAGGGGTGGACATGTTTAGGCCGATTCTCTGGTGGGAGGGGTGGACATGTTTAGGCCGATTCCCTGGTGGGTGTGGGTGGGAGGGGTGGACATGTTTAGGCCCGATTCCCTGGTGGGTGTGGGGAGGGGTGGACATGTTTAGGCCGATTCCTGGTGGGTGTGGGGAGGGGTGGACATGTTTAGGCTGATTCCTGGTGGGTGTGGGGAGGGGTGGACATGTTTAGGCTGATTCCCTGGTGGTGTGGGGAGGGGGTGGACATGTTTAGGCGATTCCCTGGTGGATGTGGGAGAGGGGTGGACATGTTTAGGCCGATTCCCTGGTGGGTGTGGGGAGGGGGTGGACATGTTTAGGCCGATTCCCTGGTGGGTGTGGGGAGGCATGGACATGTTTAGGCCCGATTCCTGGTGGGTGTGGGAGAGGGGTGGACAAGTTTAGGCTGATTCCCTGGTGGATGTGGGGAGGGGTGGACATGTTTAGGCAGATTCCTGGTGGGTGTGGGAGGGGGTGGACAAGTTTAGGCTGATTCCCTGGTGGGTGTGGGGAGGGGTGGACATGTTTAGAGCAGATTCTCTGGTGGGAGGGGTGGACATGTTTAGGCCGATTCCCTGGTGGATGTGGGGAGGGGTTGGACATGTTTAGGCGATTCCTGGTGGGTGTGGGGAGGGTGGACATGTTTAGGCAGATTCCCTGGTGGGTGTGGGGAGGAGGGGTGGACATGTTTAGGGAGGGGGTGGACATGTTTAGGCGATTCCCTGGTGGGTGTGGGGAGGGGGTGGACATGTTTAGGCCGATTCCCTGGTGGATGTGGGAGGGGTGGACATGTTTAGGCTGATTCCCTGGTGGGTGTGGGAGGGGTGGACATGTCTAGGCTGATTCCCTGGTGGGTGTGGGGAGGGGTGGACATGTTTAGGCCGATTCCCTGGTGGGTGTGGGGAGGGTGGACATGTCTAGGCGATTCCCTGGTGGATGTGGGGAGGGGGTGGACATGTTTAGAGCTGATTCCCTGGTGGGTGTGGGGAGGGTGGACATGTTTAGGCCGATTCCCTGGTGGGTGTGGGGAGGGGTGGACAAGTTTAGGCTGATTCCCTGGTGGGTGTGGGGAGGGGTGGACATGTTTAAGGCTGATTCCCTGGTGGGTGTGGGGGAGGGTGGACATGTTTAGGCAGATTCCTGGTGGTGGGTGTGGGGAGGGGTGGACATGTTTAGGCAGATTCCCTGGTGGGTGTGGGGAGGGGTGGACATGTTTAGGCTGATTCCCTGGTGGATGTGGGGAGGGGTGGACATGTTTAGGCAGATTCCCTGGTGGGTGTGGGGAGGGGTGGACATGTTTAGGCAGATTCCCTGGTATGTAAAGGTGTGATATGATGTCTTTTGACAGTAATACAACATTCATATTAGTTAATGTTACTAATGGAAAATTATACTTAATGTCAGTTATTATGACTGTTTTAATGATATAACTGACATCAAACTTCATCCTAGTGATCTCCAAACTGTAACTCTACACTAGTGCTAAACCTTTAAATCATATTACAGACTCAAACTGTCATCAACTGTTTTTCTTCTGAACACACACAATAACATGTCAACCAAAACTTGAGAACTTGAGCCAGGCACAAACATATCCTCGTCACTAGAAAGGAACAAGTTTCCATCATTAGACGAGAACATGTTCCAGCCTTGTTATCATATCAAGTCCTCCTCAGCAGACAAGAACATGTTCCCATCTATAAACACAATGTCCCTATCAACAGAGAAGAACATTTCCAATCATAAGATATGAACCTGTCCCCCTCATAAGATATGGACATGTCCCCCTCATAAGATATGAACCTGTCCCCCTCATAAGATATGGACAGGTCCCCCTCATAAGATATGGACATGTCCCCCACATAAGATATGGACATGTCCCCCTCATAAGATATGGACATGTCCCCCTCATAAGATATGGACATGTCCCCCTCATAAGATATGGACAGGTCCCCCTCATAAGATATGGACATGTCCCCCTCATAAGATATGGACATGTCCCCCTCACAAGATATGGACATGTCCCCCACATAAGATATGGACATGTCCCCCTCATAAGATATGGACATGTCCCCCTCATAAGATATGGACAGGTCCCCCTCATAAGATATGGACAGGTCCCCCTCATAAGATATGGACAGGTCCCCCTCATAAGATATGGACAGGTCCCCCTCATAAGATATGGACATGTCCCCCTCATAAGATATGGACATGTCCCCCTCATAAGATATGGACATGTCCCCCTCATAAGATATGGACATGTCCCCCTCACAAGATATGGACATGTCCCCCACATAAGATATGAACTGGTTCCCCTTATAAGATATGGACTGGTCCCCTCATAAGATATGAACATGTCCCTATCATAAGATATGGACATGTCCCTATGAAAAGATATATGTTCTCATTATCTTTTGAACCTGTTCAGTCCTCAGGCTCAAACACATCCTCACCAGACAAGAAAATGTCCCAGTGGTCAGACAAGAACACATTCTCATCATCAGACAACAGCACTTCCCTATCATATAAGGATATCAAACAAGAACATGTCCACAACAGTCAAGACCATGCCCCTATCAGACATGACAATGTCCCCTAAACTCTGCCCATTACTTAAACCTCACCCTTCATCAGGGATCTCAGGGACAAGCAGACACTATACAGGAAGAGACAACAGCTGGTGAATTTTAACGCCAGATTTTGTACACTTTAAAACGCATGTGGTATATGCATAGAGATATAGTACAAGATTTCTAAGTACAAATAAATACAAAATTGGCACAACATTAAAGATGAGACTTAGCACTGTTGCAGGGTTTCCCACATGTAATATCCCTCCAGGCAGTGTCCAAATCCCAACACACCCCAATGCTACACGAGGAAGATGCCTGCAGTGTTGAGGATAGGGTTCTTTCTCGCTAGTATGACAAGTTTTGTCACATCTCAAGGTTTCCAGCAATACCCCATGGTACACAAATTGACTGGTATGTTTAAGCTAATGTTTCTTTATTAGGTTTACCATGGAATTGTTTAAGAAAATAGAATTGAGCAACATATCTTAACTGGCTATTTCGGTCCAGAAATGGACTTCAGCATGATACAGAATTTCAAATTACACCATTGTTTGCAACTTCATTTGATCATTTTCTATGAACGCTAAGAATGTTGATATGTGCACTTTACACAACGCATTGTATATCGTTCTATAGTGCAGCTTGTCATACAAGAAAAGGTGACTTCTTTGGACTGTAAATGAACCCAGAAACTTTGAACAGGTGGATCAGAGATTAATGAATGGTATCTCCAGGTTGAGGAGTATCCACAAACAAGCAATTTTCTCATCAATTTCCGACCAAACCTTCTCATATGTCACGCAGCTAAACTGGACAACATAATGCAGTTTAACTGTCAGCTGGTGTTAGTAATGTAGAATGCTTCAATGACATGACGTGAATTCTCAACGTTGTGTATCACCACACATGAAACTGATGAAAGCAACAAAGTCCTCTGCATGCAATGTAGGATTCTAAAATCTGCCAATGGTACTCATGACAGTCAAGTAATTGTGCATGACACTCAACTGTGCACAAATGTGACCTCCAGAGTCCTGTCCATCAAAACCTTCATGCATATCACTGGGTGAGATGGATGTACCATGCTGTCCATCTGGAACTCATCATGCTCGGTAGAAAGGATGCCTTACATCCTGATGAACACCAGCTCGCTAAATCCACCAGTCTCACCATGCACCTTCAGTCTCTACCTCTATCACAAGTCGCACAATAGGTACCTCACTAACAAGTCATGCATGCCATTTTACAAGTTGCAAGTCCAGTTTCGTGTAGCTTTGAGAAATCAACCTGGGTGATAGTCATCTATTCAACAGAGGCCAAAAACCAAGTCTGTGTGCATGTCTCACTGAAAGAGTGTCACCAGTTGTTTAGCCGCTTTAGCAATGTCATATGCGAACTGTATGATTAGCTGTGTTTTGTGAGCTGCCTCCACTTCCGAGTCCTGATCTTGCTGAGCGCACTTCCGGCACTCTTCCTGAAGCCGAGCGGCACTCATGGTGAGGAGTTGTAAGGCTGCATTCACTGTGTCAGGCCTCACAGGCTGGAACAAAAGACCATAGTCACATACTAATGGATCTGCCAGGAAGGAAGATCATCTCAACAACATAAACATAAAACAGGCTGAATTACACAGGCAGTGTTCGAAATTAATGTCCATCCTTAGGCCCGAAGCTGACTGAAACCACTCGGACCCACAGCTTTTGTTTTCTGCAGGTCATTATGGCCGACAGTCCCAATAACTAAGAGTATTATTTTTCAGAAAATATCATTCAGTAATTTCTAGCCTTTATCTCAACCAGCAGCTGTTGTCTGTAAGTGAAATGACTATCATTTTCGAGGAAGCAATTTGGATTACTGAGATATGATCTTTTAACCTCAAACAAGTTATCCAATGCATTGCAAAGACTAGTCAGTCACTAGAGTTAAATTAAACTCTTTAACTCAGTTTGTTAGTTGGCACATTTATTGTTTGCTGGGACTTACTGATATTGTAGCTAAAATAATGCCCCCAAATTGCTTAACGATGGGCCATTATCATGCCCGTTGTTAGGTGACGTCATAAGGACCTCAGCTCTTGATGTTCAACCACCTACGGTTCGTTTGAACTTGGGTTCAATATTGACGATATATCTGACTCACATTCGTCACATGTACCTGTGCCATTATGCACTTCCTTGCCGGTGCCAACCTTAACAATTGTACCATAAATTACAACATGTAGCAATAAAAACATCAACTGGAACTCTAACGTTGTTCAGCATTGAAAAAAATGGCGGCTGGTAGTATGGGCAAAGGTCAAGGTCGAATGTCGTCACTCGCAATAGTGACGTCATCTTGTTTGTTCTGTGACGTTTCCATGTTTGTAAAAAGTGTGTCAGTGACCTCCGTCGTTTGTTGTTAGCAGTAAATGCTTCAAAACCAATACTGTTGTTTGCTTTTATCTTATTAAAAATTCTATCCATTTTAGCTAAAATAACGGTAACGCTATTTTTCAGGGCATTATCCTTCCTCAGGCAGTTAATGAAAGACCTCAGGCTTCTGCAACTGATAATGCCCTGAAAAAATGTGTTACCCTTATAATACCCAAGTAGAAGGTCGTGTCAGCTAACCTTTGAGCGACCTATGACCGCCAATCAAACGTGAAGCGGTCGAACGGATTTAACCAATCAGACAACGGCTACTATTTAAGGTTCGGCGGGACTTACAAAATGTTTTTTTTAATATATATTCTCTTCCCCGGTCGCTGACACTGATCTCTCAACAAACGAAAATCTGCATAAAACACAGATATTTGGCCTGCAGTATATACACTTAGGGGTTTCTGATGACATGGTTACTATTAGCTTATATTTTCGCAAACTGACATCCTAGAATATTGACAAAAACACTAATTTCAGAGACTGTTTATTCATTGTTGTGAATAATGGCGTCCTCCACGTGTATCACTCAGAAGCAATCGTGTGGAACATAGCATTCGGAATCATTCGAGTTTTCGAGGTAAAGATTCAAACTGTATGTGCAAATGTTAACTTTCACAATTTGGTAAGCTCTGTTCTGATTAGTCAATTCAAAAGGTTAGCTGATGCAACCTTTTACTAGGGTTTGTTAGACTCAGTATAGCAGTGTACAAATGATACTGAGCCTAAGTTTACTTAAGACTGTTTACCAGCCCTGAACCACCCAAATGGAACTGAAGTGTCAGGTCAAGCCCTGATGAGTGGGTTGAAGGAGCTGTGGTTCCTCCATGTAGGTCCACACAGACACTCACCTGTGGAAATAGTTCCGCCATGTCCACAACAGCAGAATATATCTTCTCAGAGCATGGTCCATAGCTGAAATAATAGAATCGACAGTTGGGTAATACAATATGTCACTGCATACCAGCTTTCAAAGATATGTTTAAGTGATGTAAAAGGTAGGCAATGCCTCTGTGGTAAGATAAATGGAGCATGGGTATAGGGCTGTCGGAACAAGCAGTTTAACTATGATTACGTTGGAGTCTAACCCCAGATCTATAGTGTAGTTTTGTTGACCAGAAAATGATAAAAGTATCACCACAGCACTGTTATTCATGAGGTACTTCCTAAACTGGAATACATGCAAAATCAGAAGCAGACCCATCCCAACTATTTCCTGAATGCCCAAAAAGATTTCCATCAGCAACATTCATCATGAACCATTAATTTTGACTTGATGAGATTAACCCCATCTTGTGACAGCTGAAATTAACTCATTCATTACAAAGAACAACTTTGGAAGACAAAGGCTATCCCTCTGCTTCCTCATAAACAAAGCAATTCCAACATCAAGAACACTTGGCCAACAAGGTACAACTTTGAAACAGAAAATACAATGCCTCTAGATACCATCAGCTTAATGAATTTGACCTTAATATAAGCCATGAATTGACTGTTGATCACATATCAGTGTAAGAATACTTAGGCCCAGTATTATTTGTTACACTGCTATACTGTAGTCATAAAACAGTCGTACTGGCAGTGTAACATATAATACTGAGCCTAAGTCTACTTAGACTGGATTACGTATTGAATGTTTCTTCAAACTGCAATTATGAATGTTCAAGATAGTGTGTGAGCACAAGCTGTTTGGGACATTACCTTCTGGAGTGACCTTGACCTGCCCCATCATCCAATCACATGTGAGGACATTACATTTTTCAATTTGTCAGAAAAAAGATGACTCCATACCATACAAACTATACTTCCTGAACAAAACTACCAACAAGGGAACGGCCTTCAAAGTATGATCAAAGTGACATCATGGTCCTGCATAGCTTCATTTATATATTAAGCTCTCCACGTCTTTAGAGCACGAAGATTAAGATGGAAGCAAGCAACAGGTACTTACCACTCGGAATTGTTTGCTTGCGCTGTTAATAATAATTCCTGGATTTTCTTGGTTATTTTTTCTGTCTTCTTTACAACATCTTCCTGCGATGGAAGTTCGGACAGATCTTCCTTCGACAGTGTGACTGAAGCGAATGCTGTAGCTTTTGGTGTGGCACCTTGTGACGACATGGAATCGGTCATCTCGGAACACGGTCGGGAGGAGGCACTGCAACAAAACATTGACCAATTGTAGTATTCACTTCAGCACTTTTTCAGTTTTGTATGTTTATTATTCATCATTATATGTAAGCTATATCACAGAAACCTGTATGTTACTGAATTTGGACTAGGTAACTCAGTGGTTGATATTATAATGACCAACATGTGACAGCTAGATATTTTTAGTCTCCTCTTATGGCAAGTTGTCATGGTTACTTCAGACGAGGAATCATGTTATCGGATTTCACTCTTAACATATGGCCATCACTCTGTTATGTCATATTTCAGATCTCTCAGCCCTGCACACTCACCAAGCTACATCCTCATCATTTGGCATATCATAGTCGGGATCTGGGACGATGTTGGCGTTAGCGACATCTGGATCAATAGGTTCACTCGGTAATGACAGCTCCATGTCACCCAGCTGTAAACACAAACTCATGATTAGTACCACACATGCTGCTTGCTCAGCATACTGACTGACACACCTTACACAATTCTTCATTGAACGCTTCAATGAACATAATTTATATACAATTCAAGACACCTGTATGAAAATACATAATTATTAGGCCTTATTTTCTTATTTAAGATAAATCTCAAATCAATTATGAATTAGATTAATCAGAATCTTTTCTTCATGAAAATTTGAGTCAAATATGAAGTGAGGTATCACTGGGTTCTCATTCAGCTGACATGAAGAGACAATCCAGAAAAGGATCATAATTTCTTAAAGATAAACCTTAAACAAAATTGTGATTCATTATCTCTAATTTGTATAAAATGACAAATCCATGTTGGGCCAAATATTTACTGGGTTTACTCCCAAACATGTTATCTCCTGCAAAACATGACAACACTGTTTCATTGACTTAGTATACAGAATACTGATTAACCAGTTACTTGATGAACTGCTCTGCCACTCCAGAATAATGCCCAGAAGATGATGATCCAGGGTATCTGCAGTGTTGAGATACAGTAGACTCACTTACCCTCTCTCCATCATAACGGATGTTGGCTTCAGACAGACAGGTTTGGAGTTGATCTTCTCTTGACTGACTCTGAGAAAAATATGCACAGTTTATTATAAGGTGAGTGAGTGAGTGAGTTTAGTTTTACGCCACTCTCCAGCTATATGGCGGTGGTCTGTAAATAATCAAGACTGGACCAGACAATCCAGTGACAAACAGCATGAGCATCAATCTAAGCAATTGGGATACGATGACATGTGTCAACCAAGTCAGTGAGGCTGACCACCCGATCCCGTTTGTCGCCTCTTACAACAAGCATGGGTTGCTGAAGATCAATTCTGACCCGTACCTTCACGGGTCTGCATGGCTATGGTGCTGACAGACAGCAAAGCACAATTCGGGATGAAGCAGGATTTGAACTCATGGTTTCTGGCATGCCCAAGGGATGCAACTCTGGACAAAGCATTTTGTTTATGTAAACTCTGGTGCCAATTCAGTAATATCAAAGTATATCAATATTATCATCACACGGCAAGATGTCTAAATGTGAGACAAAACCCACCTTTTGTAATGAGGTTCTGGGCTCAAACATTGACTGTGGTCGCATATCCCGCACAGGCCGTTGTGGCACTTTCTCATCCAGTGAGTCATATTCGGGGTTACCAGAGTTACTCCCCTTGCTGGCCTCGTAGCCGTTCTGCAAAACCTGAGCTTCGTTCCTCCGTTGCATGTTGATGCTCTTTAGGGCACTGTTCTCCTTAATCAAGCTGTCAATCTGTCAACAAGTACATGTTCACTCATGTTTGATAAGGGTTAAGGTGAAATATTAAACATGAGTTTGACCTTAGCCTTTTACCAAAACCTATTCAAAGCAGAACTCCATACTGAAGAAGGTATATCTTTAGATAAAAACGATAAAACATTTTGAGAAAAGTACCCATGAAGTTTTGACCTTGACCTTGAAACATTTTCCTGACATGGGCAAAACATGCACCAGACACATAAGGAAGAACTTCATAAATGAATATCTTTTGCAGTCCGATAACACCTTTAAAAATCCTGTTCCTACGGGCTGCTACTAGTGCAGTCAGGTACTGGCCGGCCGCCACGGTGCCTCCGTCACGTTCTGTGCCTCTACATAATATAGATGTGGTGCTCTGTAATATAGACTCAACCAGTCAACCACTGCTTCGAGGACACGATCCTTACCGAGTCCAGGTACTGCCACATAACCATACTGCATTTTCAAGGAAGACATATAGTGAATGTCAAACTTTGCACACTGAACAAACAGTAGGTTTAACTCATTCTACCATAATATCAAGTGGAATAAACGTACACTACTCAGCTAACATCTGACTGGCTCAGAAACAATACCTCCTTCACATAGATTGGGAGGGGTTGCCAAGTCTCCACACGGAGTGTTATTGTGTTGGAAGTAAAAGAACTGATTTAATGGAGAGAACCATTTTCCTAGTTGAGAAAAGGCTAATACATGTAGTAAGAATGGCATGGGTAGAGTTGGTTTTCAATATGAATTATGAAATCATAAAAAATTGCATAAAAAACAAACCCTTGCCATTTTTATCCATAAGACGAAGGTATCAATAATTTGTAACTTTGCTAATTTCAATCAACAGGAGTCCCTGAAACTGAAATCTACCATCCAAACATCTCTTAGGTTCTTCAGCATAGTGCCTAAGTGAATTTGAGATAGGAAAATGACAAAATTTGAGCTCTCTTCCTAAAACTCCATGTAGTATCTGAATCAAATTTTTGTGATTTCTACTCAGAATATACTGATACACATCCCATTCTAAGAACTGCAGTCTAAGAAATCTGTACTTTCCAATACAAGTTGATATTTGATTTGAAACCAGCATTTGACAAGCAACAAACTGCATCACTGTGGTACAATGACATACAATTAGCCAGGTAATAGATGTCATACAATTAGCCAGGTAACAGATCACAACTTGTTTGTAGTCTTCTACTATGGGGGCACTGGAAAGCTATTCTCACATGGAATCAGTACAGGGTGATTTGTTTGTTGCTTAACGCTTACTCAGCAATATTCCAGCTGTATGGTGGCAGTCTGTAAATAATCCAGTCTGGACAGACAATCCAGTGATCAACATCGATCCATGCAATTGTCATACAATGACATGTGTCAACCAAGTCAGCAAACCTGACCACCCAATCCTGTTAGTCATCTCTTATAACATGCATGGGTTACTGAAAAACGTTTCTAACCTGGATCTTCATGGGTTTTGCTACAGGGTGAAATAAATGTCTTAGACATTACTGATTTAAGAGACATTTTCATGCATCATGTACATTCTATGTTAAACACTTTTTTCATGCAAAAGCATTATCATGTTATCTGACTTCCTAAATCTATCCATCATGCCTGACCAGAAAATGACATGCTTGCCTCATCTTAGCAATTATATGTTCAGGTCTTCTGTGTGTCTATTTCTAACTGGTTGATGAAAGATGGAATGACTAACTGTATTCTGGCACTGAAACGGAAAACATACACATGGCATCTTACCCGTTATCTTCCATCATGTCAGTTTGTGTTTTAGATGCAGACTCAACAAGGCTTGCTATTCTAAACTGATACTTGTAACAATCACACGTGCCAGTTTTAGATAATTCCAAGTGAAAGTGAAAAAAGTGCATCAGGGAACAGTCTTAGCTTGGCCCTATTTTCAAAAGTTGCTGTGGTGCAATTTGAGCTCTGAATAAGCAACGGGTAGCTTATATCACTTCAAGAGGAAGATTCATCACCCATCTGGGTGACAAATAGATCCACACATTGTGAAACTCCCTGGATATAATCTGTCACTTTGAAAAGTTCAGTGAATCAGGAGTAACACCTTTTAACTCACTACTGAAGTATTTACAATGCATTGTTGCAAGGGAGCTTATTGTGGGTGCAAAACACAGAGTAACAGAACAGTAAAGGTTGACAATTCTGTTGAGGAGCAAGACTACTGTAATGATGGTCATGGTGATGAAAGCTGAATATCAGGAAGCATCTTCACATCTAGATATTAGGATTGACAACCACAATCAAAACTCCATTTTGTGAACAGCATTGAGAGCATTCAACTCAAGGCAAACACAAAACATCCTGCTACTCCTTCTGAAGTGAATGGGGTGATGGGGTAGCCTAGTGGTTAAAGCGCTGACTGCCCCAGGTTCGAATCACCACATGGGTACAATGTGTTAAGCCCATTTCTGGTGTCCCCCGCCGTGATGTTGCTGGAATATTGCTAAAAGCGGCGTAAAACCAGTCAGTCAGTCTGAAGTGAATGATGTGAGTGAAGGTTGTAAACTGCCAGTCAGCAGTATTTTTACTGTCATCTATCAGTAACTGAATCTGTACCAGGCAAACATGTCATGCATTGACATGCAGTCAGAAGAGCTAGCCCTCCTGATCCCCTCACAACCAACCACAGGGATCTGGAGATGTGGACCCAGCTTGTAAACACTGACTTTCTCCTTGTAGAGAACATAACAAAAGATTTCCATGCAAACTTCTAACAACAAATCCTCTGTAGCAAGAGGTGTAATGCCTAACAAGCAACCACAAACTCAACTGAGACGGTCAAACCAAAAGCACTCATTAAAACATTCTGTAATGCTAGAACTTCATGCAGTGAAAGTGAAAATTTGATTAGAGATCAAGTTGGTTGGGTTACTTCTCACAGGTCATATGTGTGTATCACCATGGATGGTGAAGCCAGCAAGCCTGGTTATCATGACAACAGGCCAAAATGAAAAACAGAGTATTGGGACACACACTCAAAAACTCATAGTACATAAATGAGTGGGTGGAATCAGGGATTAAAAGTTTGGTGTAATGCTGCTATCAGCAAGGGAGGGTGAGGTTACCAGTAGTCTCCAATGGAAGGGGATGAGAGTGAGCTGGAGGAGGGCAACCAGGAAATAACAGGAACCTGTGACAGACAACTTAAAGTTGTATTCTCTACAATGACAGTTTTCTTGTCACACATTAATGTGAACTTCAGGGTGAGGGTTAAGGTCTCCTGTACAATGACAGTTTTCTTGTCACACATTAATGTGAACTTCAGGGTGAGGGTTAAGGTCTCCTGTACAATGACAGTTTTCTTGTCACACATTAATGTGAACTTCAGGGTGAGGGTTAAGGTCTCCTGTACAATGACAGTTTCTTGTCACACATCAATGTGAACTTCAGGGTGAGGGTTAAGGTCTCCTGTACAATGACAGTTTTCTTGTCACACATTAATGTGAACTTCAGGTGGAGGGTTAAGGTATCCTGTACAATGACAGTTTTCTTGTCACACATTAATGTGAACTTCAGGGTGAGGGTTAAAGGTCTCCTGTACAATGAGAGTTTTCTTGTCACACATTAATGTGAACTTCAGGGTGAGGGTTAAGGTCTCCTCCAGTTTTCTTGACAGTTTTCTGGGGTTAGGTCTCCTGTCACACATCAATGTGAACTTCAGGGTGAGGGTTAAGGTCTCCTGTACAATGACAGTTTTCTTGTCACACATTAATGTGAACTTCAGGGTGAAGGTTAAGGTCTCCTGTACAATGACAGTTTTCTTGTCACACATCAATGTGAACTTCAGGGTGAGGGTTAAGGTCTCCTGTACAATGACAGTTTTCTTGTCACACATTAATGTGAACTTCAGGGTGAGGGTTAAGGTCTCCTGTACAATGACAGTTTTCTTGTCACACATTAATGTGAACTTCAGGGTGAGGGTTAAGGTCTCCTGTACAATGACAGTTTTCTTGTCACACATTAATGTGAACTTCAGGGTGAGGGTTAAGGTCTCCTGTACAATGACAGTTTTTCTTGTCACACATTAATGTGAACTTCAGGGGGTGAGGGGGTGGGTAAAGTGTAAGGTCTCCTCTACAATGACAGTTTTCTTGTCACACATTAATGTGAACTTCAGGGTGAGGGTTAAGGTCTCCTGTACAATGACAGTTTTCTTGTCACACATCAATGTGAACTTCAGGGTGAGGGTTAAGGTCTCCTGTACAATGACAGTTTTCTTGTCACACATTAATGTGAACTTCAGGGTGAGGGTTAAGGTCTCCTGTACAATGACAGTTTTCTTGTCACACATTAATGTGAACTTCAGGGTGAGGGTTAAGGTCTCCTGTACAATGACAGTTTTCTTGTCAACTGCTATTTTCTCCCAACCGCCTGCTCCCTCTACAGCTCCAAGATGAGCAGTGCACACATTAATATGAACTTCAGGGGGAGGGTTAAGGTGTTCTGGGGTTCTCTACCACTGAGCTCCACATGCTGAGCTTGCTCACCTCAGTAAAGGAGATAATGGACATGGGAGTTTGTCGCCTCAGTGTCGAGTCCTACGACAAATGAAATAAACAGGTGCATCATGTACAAACAGAAAAGAACTAAAGTTGAGAGAAGATAAAAAAATTATGAAAATACAGAAAAGAAAACTGAACTGATATTACATCATGTCAAACGACATAAGACAGAAAATTAAATGATGAAAATAATTTACATTAACATGACAAAGAAATTATCGCGACTTATGCAACAGCATCACAAAATGGACATGACAGTGGAGGCAAAAAGACATACAACAGTAGCACAGTGGAAAAGATATAATTATATGATATCCATGGAGAAGAAGTTTGTACAATGTTATTAATTCCTCATAATTATGAGAAAATGCTCCCATAACTTTGAAACGACATGAGGACATATATGATAGCTATTCAACTAAAAGTCACTTTCAACAAGTTTAACAAATATACACCTTAAGGTCAAACACAAAAGGAATCATCAATGCAATTAAAGGTTGATGACAAAATGTACTATTAGTGGTAAATATGTCAGCATTGCATATGTTAATGATACCAACGGTTACTGACATATGTCTTGTCCTGAAAGTTACTGAAGTTACTGAAAACTACAGATATTATATCAGGCTATATTTGTGATGTTTTGAACATCAGAACACTGCCACTTTCTTTACCTAGGTATTCCCCGTGCAGGCTGCTGAGATAAAGCCCAGTATAAATGGTGTATATCTTTAAGCATAAATGAAACAAGTACTCACATCGGCTGGCTTATCTCTCCTCATCTCCTCTCGCATACTCTTAATGCTTATAGTATCAATACTGCTGTAGTCCTCGTCCGATGCCACGCTGTCGTACAGAGGCTCGTCGTCACTGAACGCGCTAACTCCTTTCGATAGGCGGGCATGTAGGTACTTGTCTGTAAAAAATGAATACCAATAAATCAAGTGAGTCAAATTGTAGTCTGTTGACACAGTATTTCATCCATATGAGCAGGACCAACAATAAGTGGTACCAACACTAAGTTAAACACTTTGTACCCTTGTCAGGAGATTCGAACTCAGGTCTCATGTTAGTATCCCGACACCACTCAACCACTACTTTGTGGTTAAAAGAGCCTCTAATTTTGAGACTGCTAAAACACACACACAAAAACACCCCTACAGAACAAAATGTAAAAAAGTAACCGATTTGGACATCCATACCTATCCACTTCACAAGCTCAAGCCACCAAAGTCAACTCAGAAAGATATACTTCACAAACAGTGAGTAGCTAAATCCTCCTGAAGAATAATATTGAACTTGTTCATATACAAACAAAATAATACTCAATACCAAATGCTGTAGGTAGATTAAAATATATTCAAGGACATTGACGAACCATATCTAAACCTGACATAGAGACAGTAAGCAAAGCTCGCATAATTACCTGTTCATTTCATATGCAAGCTCAGCCTTCACTCCAAGAAAAGGTATACATGTCACAGCTGGTAGATTGACAGCGTCACAAGCATTACGACAACCAACCCTAACACTCCTGTAGCATTCACATAATCAGCATTCCTAATGATAACCTTTAAATGTTGTCTTACACCACAACCTGCAGTGTCCCACAATGTATATGGGGAAATCACTGGTGCAGAACAGGCAGTTCCCCATACAGGCAACTGTGAGGTGAGCATCCGAGACGGGGGCAGTCTAGTCCCACATTAAACCTGAATGCATCCGACAATAGTCTACTTAATGGAGGAGTCTGTGTTTTCTCAATCCAGACACATGCTGCAGGCATAGTCTATTTAGGGTCAGTTTGATGATGTGTTACTCCAGCTGTTTGTACATGGATTAGCCATGGGTAAAGACACATAGTGTCTAAACACAGTGTAGGTCACTCGCTATCAAGCACATTAAAGGCAGATGGGGTTTATTTGAAAAGCAGTCTTAGTCAAAATGATTAAAAAAAATAAAAAAATAATAAAAAGACAGAACAACAACAACAAAAAAACCACCCCATAATTCTGTTCCTCCTACATCTGGTAAATTTTCAAATTCAAAAGTCATACAAAATCTAAATTGCAACCCTAACATCCCATTCAGGTTGTCATATCTTTTGATCAAATCAACCCTCTTTCAATCAAACACTAAGTGGCTCGGTGGTCACCTGTGCAAAATATGTACTGTATTATGTTGGAAAGCACATGTAAATCTCCAAATCATCATCATCATCATCATGATCATCAAATTTATTCATCTGAATACACGACATCACTTCATGTGAACTATCAAAAAGGTCTATGAACATGAAGGCCACAAGTCCAGAGAGACAATGTCTCCGACTACACTATTTATGTCTGTATCTAAACTGGAATGAACACCAACTGGAACAAAGTCCCTCGTTAACTCAGTGGACCTTTCCCAGATTCACCTGTGTCCACATAGTTTAGCATTAATACATATGTCATGAGGTCTCTTTCATAAAGTCCAAAGTATTGCTTTTGAGATGTAAGAATGAGTGAGTGAGTTTGGTTTTACACCGTTTTTAGCAATATTCCAGCAATATCAGAGTGGAGGACATCAGAAATGGGCTTCACACATTGTGCAGATTTGGGGAATCGAACCCGGGTCTTCGGCATAACAAGCCAATGCTTTAACCACTAGGCTACCCCATCACCCCAGAGATGTAACAAAACCTCAAAGCATTGTTGGGGTGTTGTGAAACACAGGATCATTAGTCAGGGGTGGAAATAACTTTAAAATTGATAGTGTACTCCGGTACAGTGGCATATGTAAAATCACTTGCCCTGATAATTTTTCCACTATGCCGGCCGTTTTCTTGTTAATTTTTTAAATAAACAACATAATTAACATTGGAATATCAACTGGACGCCGGTACAGTGTGATATACAAATTTGGGCGTCGGGCAATGGGTTATTTCCACCCCTGTTAGTATATGTGTTCAGCAATATTCTAGCTCTTAGACAGCGGTCTGTATGTTATGAATACTGGTCAAGGCAAACAACATAATGTTTAAGTTGAACATGGTCACTGAGTCTGATGAACAATCCCTTAGGTCAACTTGTACATCAAGCATTGGCTGTTGGGAACCAGTTCAAACTAAAAAATCTCAGTGAGAACCAGTTCAAACAAAAATCTCAGTGAGTGAGTGAGTGAGTGAGTGAGTGAGTGAGTGAGTGAGTGAGTGAGTGAGTGAGTGAGTGAGTGAGTGAGTGAGTGAGTGAGTGAGTGAGTGAGTGAGTGAGTGAGTGAGTGAGTGAGTGAGTGAGCAGTGAACACCAGGAATGGGCTTCACACACTGTAGGTAATCCAACCATGGTCTTCGGCATAACGAGCGAATGCTTTAACCACCAGGCTACCCCACCGCCCCAGAGATTTCAAGATAAAACTGTCCTAATCCAAAATACAGAAACATCAGAAAGCATCATTTCTTATCCACAACAACGGATTACCATCCTCTGTATTCTCAATCTACCTGAAACATCCAGCTTCTAAGATTAGATGTGAACATTCTTGGAGCTGCATTCAGAAGCTGGTGCAGTGACCAAGGACAAGTTCTTGTGGATCCACAGCTTGTTGCCTCATCAGATGGTGTGTATATTCATGTCAGCCAGCCCACAGTAAGCAGGACCTGCCTGTTTAACTAAGGAGTCCCGCTCCCCTGTGATTATTTACCTACTGACTATATACCTACAACAGCTGGAAGAAGCACTCAGTAGCTGTCACATGTGTGAACTACTGAGGCATATTTGATTTAGTTTCTAATTCCACAAGTCTTGTTTCTTAGTTTACAGAATATTGTGTGAAAGTTTGGATAAAAATTAAAATTCTGTGTTTTAGGACATTCTTGGAATACCTTGTCATGTGAAACAAACAAAAAAAGATATTTTCACAATGTGCATTTACTGGGATGCAGGGAATTTGTCCTGCTACTGAGTAAATTATTTTGCCCAATTAAATCAAACTGTCATAATGCTGGTTCAATCATACTGTCCTGATACTGGGTAAATCAGATTGTCCTGACACAGGGTGAATCACACTGCCCTGATACCAGGTAAATTATACTGTTCTGATACTGGGTAAATCATACTGCCCTGATACCAGGTAAATCAAACTGTCCCAATGCTGGTTGAATCATACTGTCATGATACTGGCAAAATCAAACTGTCCTAATACTGGGTAAATCATACTGCCCTGATACAGGGTAAATCAATCATACTGCAATGATACAGGGTGAATCATACTCTCCTGATACTGGGTAAATTATACTGTCCTCATACCAGGTAAATCAAACTGTCCCAAAGCTGGTTGAATCTCACTGTCCTGATACTGGGTAAATCATACTGTCCTGATACTGGATAAATCATACTGTCGTGATACAGGGTAAATCATACTGTCCTGAAACTCGGTAAATTAAACTGTCCTGATACTGGGTAAATCACTCTGTCCTGATACTGGGTAAATCACACTGTCCTGATACTGGGTAAATCAGATTGTCCTGATACAGTGTAAATCCGAATGTTACGATACTGGGTTAATCAAAATGTCATGAAACTGGACATATCATACTGTCCTGATATTGAGTAAATCATACTGACCTGATACTGGGTAAATCATACTGTCCTGATACCAGATAAATCAAACTCCCCCAATGCTGGTTGAATCATACTGTCCTGATACTGGGTAAATCATACTGACCTGATACAGGGTAAATCATACGGTCCTGATACTGGGTAAATCACAATGTCCTGATACTGGGTAAATCACACTATCCTGATACTGGGTAAATCATACTGTCCTGATACAGGTTAATCATACTCACCAGATAAATCAAACTCCCCTGATACTGGGTAAATCAGAATGTCCTGATACTGATCATAATGGGTCATAAAATCAAAACTTGGTGTCATGAAACTGGAAATCAAATGATACTGGGTAAATCATACTGTCCTGATACTGATAAATCATGAGTTGATACTGGGTAAATCATACTGACCTGATACTGGGTAAATCATACTGACCTGATACTGGGTAAATCATACTGTCCTGATACCAGATAAATCAAACTCCCCCAATGCTGGTTGAATCATACTGTCCTGATACTGGGTAAATCATAATGTCCTGATACTGGGTAAATCATACTGACTGACTGATACTTGGTAAATCATACTGTCGTGATACAGGTAAATCATACTGTCCTGATACAGGGTAAATCATACTGTCCTGATACTGGGTAAATCATAATGTCCTGATACTGGGTAAATCATACTGACCTGACACTGGGTAAATCATAATGTCCTGATACTGGGTAAATCATACTGACCTGATACTGGGTAAATCATACTGTCCTGATACCAGATAAATCAAACTCTCCCAATGCTGGCTGAATCATACTGTTCTGATACTGGGTAAATCATACTGTGATAATACAGGGTGAATCATACTGTCATGATACAGGGTAAATCATACTGTCCTGTTATGAGGTAAACTAAACTGACCTGATACTGGGTAAATCATACTGCCCTGATACAGGGTAATAAAAATGTCATGATACTGGGCAAATCAAAAGGTCTCGACACTGGGTAAATCAAAATGTCATGATACTGGGTAAATCAAAATGTCATGATACTGGGTAATTCATGTTGTCCTGATAGCAGATAAATCAAACTCTCCAAATGCTGATTGAATCACACTCTCCTGATACTGGGTAAATCACACTGTAGTGACACTGGTTAAACCACACAGTCCCAATACTGGGTAAATCATACTATAACTATAAGCTTTTCTGGTTTGTTGACATCCCTTCCTGCACAATACAAAACCAGCCCTTCCAGCTGTATGCACTGTCTGTTACATAACCATGGCCCTGCACTGCAGCTAATATCATGCATAATATTGTCAAGTTGAAGAAATGGATGCTTTGCCTTAAACACTAATACAAATACCAAGGGTTGGTTTAGTACATATGTAAGTAGAACAACCATATTAATGATCAATCCAGTAACCTTGACCTTCAAAAAATGTCGCACTCAAGCATACTATTTATCTCCATCCTATAGATGAACTGAACTCAACAGCATCCAATTACAATGAACACTTATTGAGTTATCTTGAATGAGTGAGTGAGTGAGTGAGTTTAGTTTTACGCTGCACTCAACACTATTCCAGCTATATGGCAGTGGTCTCTGAATAATTAAGCCTGGACCAGACAATCCAGTGATCAACAGTATGAGCATCAATCTACGTAATTGGGATAACATGACGTGTCAACAAAGGCAGCGAGCCTTAATCCCTTCAGTTGTTTCTTAGGACAAGCATGGGTTGCTGAAGATGAATTCTAATCCATATGTTAAAGGGTTCATTTGGTATGGATTAAGGGAAAATAGATGTGCTTTGCTATGGTTATACTATAAGTAGGTACAAGAATAGTTCAGGGCACAAGTGTACATCATTAACAGTGTTCATGAATAGTGTCTGACCCTCTGACAAATCCGGCAGATTCGGCAAAGGTCTGATAGAACTGTACAACCCATCGGCCCCAGTGTCTGACTGTATATTTCACGATGACTTTGACTGAAGTTGTTATAAGTGACATGTGACACTTGTTTGCTGTTTATAAATCTTATGTTTGTTAATAATTTCAATGCCAATTATAAGAAATGTTAAATCTGAAATGTGTGTTTAATTTTATTCTTTGGGTCCTGTGAATTTTCAACGGGTCAGACAGACATCTGAAGCTTACAGGACCCAATGTCCTGTTACTGTGAAACACCATTCACGAACACTGCATTAACATGCAATTTACCACAATCATGGACCTGAGAGTGCATTATTATACTTCAGGGCATAAATGTGATTTTTCCGCAGTTCTGGGTACAAGTGTGCATTATTACAGTTCACTATACCGATTCCTGGCATATATTGACATAATTACAGTTCAGGGGAAAGTGTGTACAGTAATCGGGCGTAAGTGTGTATGGTTATAAATTCAAAGCATATGTGATCATTGTTATAATTCAGGGCATAATTGTTCATGATTCCAGTGCAGGGCATAAGTTTTCCTTACAACATTGAAGGGCATGAATGTGAATGATTACAGATCATAGTATATTACATGTATTTGTGTGTGTTATTATGATTCAGGGTATCATTGTGCATTATTTTATTTTATTGGGCATGTGTGTGCATTATTTTAGTTGAGAGAATACAAGTGAATTATCACAATTCTGGGCATAAATGTGGTAAATCACATGTATGCCCTGAATTATAATAATGCAATGCCCAACCTCCCCACTACTCAGAATAGTCTGACGGCTCCGAGAATTAGAATGATGTGTGAGCAGTGGTCACGTGGGGAGCGTGCTGCATGCCTCGCATGGATTGTGATAAGTAGTCCATTAGCGAGAGCAGCACGGAATACACACGCGATGGGACAAGACAGGCCAAGGGAAAAAGTCATTTACAGTCATTCCACTCAGTGTCGAAGCAAGAGAGACAGGTGTAAGCCGTGAGATAAGTTTAAAAATTATGTACATTCAGATACTGACGTGTTATTCCACAATCTTCTTCAATAGTCCAGCTATATCAAAATGCCACAGAAACACCTGTGACAGATAAACCCAGGGTTAACACCACCAGCAATGGTCAATGCTGCTGGATTGGGACAACACTGTGTCATCCAGGTCACATGACCAGACCCCCTTGACATAGCGTGTACAATCTGCAAAGGGACTGGGAACTGATATCGCCCCTCCAGTTATCAACTGTATGTTAGTTCACAACACATATGCTTACCTGGTTCTTTGGGAGTGTGAACAGGGGAGGCAATTCCTGTCTGTCTCCGCCGAGCATCATTCAAGATGTCTATGATCAACGTGGCAAACTCCCTGGCATTGAAACGAGCTAGTTTTTGTCTTCCCTGGAAAGAACAGATAACTTCTATTAGAATGAATGCAAGCACACCAGCCCATGTCAGACAAAGAACTGAAGGACTGGTAGTATGAAGAGTCACTAGGCCCTGCTGGCTAGCTCCTGTAACAGAAAACTAGTTCTTGTCTCCAGAATATCAGGAATGTCTGTTGACTACACACTGTACACACAGGCCTTATGGGATAAAATATCGATAGTCACAAATATAAGTAGCAACTAATTCATGTTCAACAAAACGAAGATGGTTGGATTGTTGATTAAAGTCACACTCAGCTGTATTCCAGCTATATGGCGGTGGTCTGTAAATAATCGAGTCTGGACTAGAAAATCCAGTAATCAACAACATGAGCATCGATCTACGCATTTTGGATAGATGACATGTGTTAACCAAGTCAGCGAGCCTGGCCACCCGATCCCATTAGTTGCCTCTTACAACAAGCTTGGGTTACTGAAGACCAATTCTAACCAGGATCTTCACGGGTCCAACAAAGCAAGTACATTATAGTGCTGAACCTTGTAAAAAACTTCCATGTGTTCCAACACTATCGACAAAAAAGGAAACACTTGGGACCACGACTTCTGTCGAGCTTGATCATCAATTAAACTTACAGCAATTTGTTGAAAATAAAACTTAACACCAACTGAGTGAGTCAAATATGTCACAGAAGCATTTCAGCCATATGCAAAAGAATGGGATCAAGCACTGACCTGATTTCGTGTTGTGGAGAGGTCAGGGTTCACAGGTAGAAATGGCACAGTTTGTCTGTCACTTAGTAATGTTGTGTTGTCATGCGTCGCCAGCCAAACTGCAGGAGAAAACAACAAGTTGTATAGTTTCTTATCGTGCCTATGAAATAACGTTTGCATCAGTGAGCTATATCTGAACAAGTTTGGAAATTTTAATATAAATTGTATATTTATATACTTATCCTATCTCACGACTTGCACCTCTCTCTCTTGCTTCGACTTTTAGTGGAACGACTGTAAACTTTTTGCCATAGGCCTCCTTGTCCATTCGCCCGTGCACTCATGCTGCTCTCCTTTATTAGCTTCCTAGTTCCTAATAAAGCTTGCAGCATGCTCCACTAATTGCCCACATGACTCCCTTAAATGATCATTCTCATCTTGGAGCCAACGTTGTAATCTGAGTAGTGGGGAGGCCGGGCGGGCATCCATCGCGACTTGCACTTATCCCACGGTTGGACGGCGGGCCGCAGATTACCCTTCTGTCTGGAGAGTGCCAATAGCTGGTCTTGGAGCTGTGTGGACTGATGACAACCGTAGATAGCGATGTACAAGGGAGGCCTGTTACGCATGCACACAACTCCTATGCTTGTAGTGGGTTCTCCGGAACCCCTTGGCTTACTAAGCACAACGACTCCCAAGGAGATGGGTGCTCCTGAGCGATGTGGTGTTAGGCCGCAACCTTGTACAAGACAAGGGACGCAACTTGGCAAGTAAGCCTCGCCTCGCCACGATTTACAAGGTACCCCCGTAATTAAAGTCGTGCTACTAGAATCGGGCCAGCCCCTGCTTCAAGAAGGCCCCCCAGACACCGACCGAGGCGGGTGAAAGAGAAACACAACTCGGCATCTCCAAGGTTAATCGTTCAGTTCCGGGCAGCATCAAATTGACCCTCACTCCTTTGCCTAAGCTTAGTCAAAGGATGTGCCCGGCAACTTTGGAGGCAGAATGCAACGAAATCCACTGGAATTCGGGAGAATCACACTTCACTGACGTAATTGCTCCGTGGAGTAGAGGTCAGTAAGGGTGAATGTCGAACACCTCTGCATCGTCATACTGATTGTGCCTCAGGTCCTTAGGGCCACGCTAGGTGGCCGTATTCCGATGCCTTGGTATGGAAGCCAAGTGAAGTAGTTCTTAAACCCATATAATGAGAACAAAAGGTTGAGATCCAGTTCAACTTTTATTCAGTATATACAAGGAAGTAGTAACCCGAATGCAGAACCGTCCCTCATCTGTGTTGTTGGGCCGATGTAAGCTGCTGAGCTAGTACAAGAGGTCCGAACTGGTGTAGTCCCTGGCCATCCGTGACAGACAGGTCTCGCAGGTAATGTGAAGAGAAGACTGTATCAGAATGCCAGAAGCAACCTTCCATGATAGCGGTCAAGGAGCAGTTGCTATGGAGGGCCATCACCGAGGCTAGTGCAGGATCGTGGCAAGCATCCAGAAGGCCAATGTGGTCCGGGAAACCTCAGTTCTTGAAGCGGTCGACAAAGGTATAAAGAGGTGCTTCCGTAGCCATCAATGATCCTTGGAGGCAGCAAGGTAAAGGTGTAGAGCCCTAACAGGGCAGAGTGTCAAATCTTCATTATCATCAGGCCCAAGAATGGTGGACAACGGGGGAATGGTAAACATCCGGTCCGGTTGCCCTGGCAGTTGGTTTTTCGCAATGAAGTCCCAGCGGAGACCCAGGAAAGCCTTGCCATGCTTCTTCCGCTCGAACAGCACCCGATTGACATCAAGCGCATGCAGTTCAGAGCAGTGGTAGCCAAAGCTACCAGGAAGAATGTCTTGAATGTCACTTGTTCGGAAGTCCTTGTTTTCTAAAGGTTCATAATCTGTAGAAATCATATGACGAAGGACGACTGACAGATCCCAGGCCGGAGGTCTGAACTTCCTGGACTGGTCAGAGAGTCTATAGGAGCGTAGTAGACTCTGCAACTCAGGAACAGTGGAAATATTCGTGCCCGTGGTGGTAGCCAAAACCGAGTTGATGGCAGCTAAGTAGGTAGCTAACGTAGTACCCTTGAATTTCTTAGTAGTGCGGAGATGCTGGAGAAACTCAGCAACGACCTGAGCCAAGGTGGAAGAGGGAGATGCAATTCCCCTAACCTTGCAATAGTCTTCAAACTTCTTCCACCTTGTTGTCGTACAAGGAACAGGTTGAAGTACGATGCGCTGAAGTGATAGCTGTGGCTACTCGGCGAGAGGAGCCCTTAGCTATGAGAGACCTCTGAAGATGCACCAAACGTGTAGATTGAGGGTTTGAGGTGACCCATGGCGCAGTTCCGAGTGAGGGTGAAGAAGTAGGTCGTCCTGGTTGGGAAGCGGTACTGGGTTTGGCTCTGCCAGGCTTCATAGATTGTCGAACCAACTTCTCGCTGGCCAGAAGGGTGCGACCAAAAGCAGTAGTATGTTGCTGGTGGCCAATAGTTTCTGTATTACTTTTGGTAGTGGAGCTGGAGGGGGGAACGCGTAGGCATTGAGACACTCCCATGATATTGCCAACGCGTCGAGTTCCCACGCCAAGGAGTCTGGGATTGGTGATAGGAACTTTGGAAGTTGGTTGTTGAACCTTGTGGCGAACAGATCTATTTGAGTCTGTGACAATGGGTAGATCATCGGCTGAAAGATTTGGGGCAGTAACTTCCACTCTGTCGGGGACGGTCGGTTGGATCGGGACAAGGCATCAGCAATCACATTTTTACCCCGGGAATGTGTCTGGCTCTGGCTACGATGTTGAGTGAGTCGATGAGATGGAAGAACCTGATCACCCATTGTAGCAGATTCGCCGAGCCTGTCGAGCCTAGATGATTTATATACCAAACCACTGTCGAATTGTCTGATTGGATCAACAGACTGGCTGATTGAAGCTCTGTTGCCCAATGTGAGATGGCTTGAATTACCGCCTTGAATTCCAGCTCGTTTATATGAAGTACCCGTTCGTCGGATGACCACAGCCCGGCCACTTGGTGGTCGAGGAAGTGAGCTCCCCAACCCATGAGGGATGCATCGACGAATAGGTGATGAGTCGGTGCAAAGGGCATCATAGAGACTCCGGCGCAAACATTCCGTTCGTCGAGCCACCATTGAAGGACTGGACGAAGCGGTTCTGGAAGGCAAATTAGTTCCTTGGGGTTGTCGGCCTGAAGGTATGGGCGTAAAAATGGCTGTATCAGCCAAAGTTGGAGCTGGCCTCTGTACGTTAAGGCTTGAGCTGACGTCAGAAGGCCCAGTAGCTCCTGCCACTGTCGTAAGGTTCTCGCCTGAGACAGTGCTGGAGGAATGCATAGCTGAGTCTTTATCCACCTGTCGTGAGGGATGAACATCATCCCCTGACGAGTGTCGAACAGTGCTCCGATGAATTGGAGTTTCTGAGTCAGTATTAGCTCTGATTTCGCGATGTTCAACAGCCACCCTACCTGTCTGAGCAGCTTGGTGGTGAACTGTAGCTGGCGAAGCAATACGATCAGATCCTGTTCAGCCTGGATGCAATCGTCTATGTAGCTTTCGAAGGTGATCCCTTGAAAGTGGAGGGCTTGGTAATTCGGGTAAAAAGCCACGGGGCCTTTCCATTGGTAGTGATTCCCATTGAACACGAGCGAAGGTACTTCCGGTGTTCTAGATGTATCCGATCATGAAGATAAGCATCCTGAAGATCTAGGCTGATGAGGAAGTCTCCCTTCTTCAGGATGGTGCGTAAATGGTTGATCGACACCATCCTGAAGTGAGGGCGGTGGAAGCAGGAATCGGGCATTGAACAAGTTCATATTGAAGATGAGCCGAGTTTGTTGGAATGTTTCTTTGGAACCAAGAAGATGGGGGAGTAGAATCCTGGAGTGACGGGCAATGGACCTAGGAGCTCTATCGCGAGTTTGTCTAATAGCGTACCTATTGTGGATTGCAGAGTCTGAAGCTGGTCCACAGGTTCCGCCTACCGGAGTGTTGTAAATCGGAACGACTGGAGGCGGGAGGTCCCAGTCGTGCGATTGTCTCAAGCCGTCACTGCTTCCCGGCGCTGGTCCCTGGGCCAGAGTTGGTCCTGGGGGGGTTAACGGGAGGAACCACCACGTCCAGATCTGTTTCCTCTGTCACGGCCTTGAGTGGATGCGCCACGAAAAAGATTGCGTAAATCCGGATTGGTAGGGGGTGAACTGTGCAGTTCGACGCTGTTTTAATGAGTCCTGGAGCTGTGACTTCTGTATCTCTAACAGTTCAATCGAGACTTGAAAGTGGGTTTCTTTATCAACTTTATTAGATACTTCTTGGATGCTACCATTGAAGAGGGAGTCTGTAAACCATGGCTGGCAAAACAGTTCTGTTTTAAATCACTCCTCCCATGAAGAGATGTTAAGGGGTCCATGTCGGCGAACAGCAAGAGTGAAGCCCAAAAAATGAGACAACTGATTCAGGATAATTTAGAACTGGACCAGAGATAAAATCATGTATCCTCGGATGTAAGCGTCTTGATGAGAGTAAGTATGCTCCAGAGCAGTGTTAACAATGTCGACTGCTGCAATCACGCAACTAATAGATGGCTGAATCCATGTGAGCTAACTCTCGGTCCTCAATAAGGTAGGGCGAAGCAGCTCGTTTGCCACACAGGGTTCCAATATCCTCATCAACTATTGGAGCCGTAGAGATTTTTGTTTGGCCGTGGACATGAGAGGTAGAAGGATTATATCTGGGAGCAGAGAATCCGTCCTTAATTTGTTTCAGGCTCTTGAAACCATCATTTAGTGTACTGGATAATTTCAGAATACAAGGTCGAGGTGGTAGGGTGATGGTAGACCAATCCCAGTTCTTAAGAGTATAAGAGTGATCCAGCTCATCTGCTGAAGTACTCAAGGGAAGATGGAGCTTCTCAACAATCCAAAGGAGTACCTGAGGTGTCTCAACTGCTGCAAAGCTACCCCCAGGGCTAGATAACTCAGAGTGAGCGGGAGATGCAGGCATGGCAATTTGGACTGGATCAATCTCAGGAGGTGGACCAGATGAAGAGCCAGGAGCTACCAAAGCCGGATGGGCTGGAGTAGAAGGCTGTATTTGGCTCCAGGCTGAGGTTATGGCCCTGATCATCATATTTAGATGCGGAGTCGCTGTAGGAGTGGGATTGCTATCAGGTTCCCATGACTCAGCGATGATTCTAGAGTGAGTCGAAGGATTCTCAGAGCGTGTAGGCGGAACATCTTAAGAGACTGTAGGCCTATTAGTGGTATCAGAACAATGATCACCCGAACGTCGGTGAGAGGATCTGTATCGAGATCTTGACGTGGTAAGTACCGAAGTAGGTTGGTAAGCTGGTGATCTGGATTCCCTAGTATGGCTAGGTGATCCGGTATGATATGAACAACTAATCCGGGTCACTGTAGTTCTAGTTGGTGATCTGGTTCTGAATGGAGCTCTGGTTCGACCATCTGAATAGGATCGGCCATGAGATGAGGATCTGTACTGTGATCCCGATTGGTCAATGGCTCTGTAAGGTGATCTAGATCGTATAGGTGACCTGGGTTGGTAAGATGATCTGGATTTGTAAAGTGATCTGGATCGATTCGATGCACTAACTGGAAACTGTGATCGTGATCTGGATCTATAAGGTGATTTGGATCGAACAGGTGATCTGGTTTGCAGTTGCGATCTGGCTTGATTTGGTGATCTGGATCAGTTAGGTAATCTACTTTGATGTTGTGATCTGGATCGGTTCGGTGATCTGGATTGGTCTGGCGATCTACATCGATGTTGTGATCTGGATCGGAGGTGACCTAGATCGGTCTGGTGATCTGATTCGAAGTTGTGATCTGGATCCATTCGGTGATCTGGATCGATTAGGTGATCTGGATCGGTCCAATGATCTACTTCGATGTTGTGATCTGGATCGATTAGGTGATCTGGATCGGTCCGATGATCTACTTCGATGTTGTGATCTGGATCGGTTCGGTGATCTGGATCGGCTAGGTGATCTGGATCTGTCCGGTGATCTGATTCGAAGTTGTGAGCTAGACCCGTTTGGTGATCTGGATCGGTTAGGTGATGTGGATCATAGTTGTGCTCTGGATCATGACTGTGATCTGGATTGATCCGGTGATCTTAATCGGCACAGTGATCTAGATAGGGCTTGTGATGGTGATCTGGATCGTGAAGGTGATCTAGATCGTTGTGGTGATCTAGAAAGATGTGGTGATCTGGATCGGCGATTAGGTGACGAAACCTGAAGTGTTGATTCATGATGAACGTCCCCCGGCGATGCTGTTGTAGCCAGCTCCGTCCAGTTCAATGAACTGTGGGGAGACAGTTGGCTGGTTGAACGCAGTTGGCCAGGCTCCAAACAAACTGAGACAGTCGATGGGATATGTACTGATGATCTGGATGATGATACTGTTGATCTAAGGTCCCCTGGTAGTGTAGATGGGACAGGCAACGAAGAATTATTGATTACAACCACCCGCGAGTAATCTGACACTATGGAAGGAGTTGATTGATGTGTACGTAATAGGTGCCGAACGTACTCAGATAAGTAAGAATCTGATGAGGCATCCATAAAATCCTCTTGAACCACAGACGTCGCTCTCTTGCGTGAAGGTACGATTTTCTGTCGCTGTAACTTGATACGCTTGGCGGGAGTGGGATCAGATTCTGTTGACTTCCTGTCCGTATCCGCGATTCTCCGGGGGCAAACATGAAGGTAGGCCTTTAAATCCTCATCTTTTAGTGAATTACACTTGCCACATCGTTTGTTCCAGTTACATTGTCCAATACAGTCACTGCAAGACGAGTGATGGCCGAGGGACGAATAATTCGTCTTGCATTGAGCACAAACTTTCCTTTTCTTGACTGATTATCCCCATGATGTTAGGGTGAAATAATGTCCCTAATATACAGCACGTCAACACAGTCGTGCGACAAGAAAGAGAATGATCATTCAAGGTAGTCACGTGGGCAATTAGTGGAGCATGCTGCAAGCTTTATTAGGAACTAGGAAGCTAATTAAGGAGAGCAGTATGGAGTGCACGGACGAATGGACAAGGAGGCCTATGGAAAAAAGTTTACAGTCGTTCCACTAAAAGTTGAAGCAAGAGAGAGAGGTGCAAGTCGTGAGATAGGATAAGTTTAAAAAAATTATATTACACAAAGAATGTTAAAGATTTGTAAAGGGGTGTGTGTGTGTGTCACAACTATGACATACATATTAGACAATTACTGCTTTAAGCTGCTATCTTTGGAATGGTAACCAAACAACAGAGAATACATTTAACAGTCAATTCAAACATGATATGGAGAAGGAAGTGATAAAGCAGTGATATGGAGAAGGGAGTGATATGGAGAAGAGAGTGATATGAAGAAGAGAGTGATATGGAGAAGAGAGTGATATGGAGAAGGGAGTGATACAGAGGAGAGAGTGATATGGAGAAGGGAGTGATACAGAGGAGAGAGTGATACTGAGAAGGGAGTGATATGGAGACTGAAATGATATAGAGAAGGAAGTGATATGGAGAAGCGATTGATACACGAGAAGAGAAGTGATGATATGGAGAAGGGAGAAGGATATGGAGAAGGGAGTGATACAGAGGAGAGATGGGATACTGAGAATATGGGAGTGGATATGGAGACTGAAGTGATATAGAGAAGGAAGTGATATGGAGAAGAGAGTGATATGGAGAAGAGAGTGATATGGAGAAGGGAGTGATATGGAGAAGGGAGTGATACAGAGGAGAGAGTGATACTGAGAAGGGAGTGATATGGAGACTGAAATGATATAGAGAAGGAAGTGATATGGAGAAGCGATTGATACGGAGAAGAGAGTGATATGGAGAAGGGAGTGATATGGAGAAGGGAGTGATACAGAGGAGAGAGTGATACTGAGAAGGGAGTGAAATGGAGACTGAAGTGATATAGAGAAGGGAGAGATATGGAGAAGCGAGTGATACGGAGAAGAGAGGGATATGGAGAAGGGAGTGATATGGAGAAGGGAGTGATATGGAGAAGCTAGGACACAGAGGAGAGAGGATACTGAAAAGGGTGTGGAGACTGGAATGAAGTGATATGGAGAAGAGAGTGATATGGAGAAGAGGACATGATATGGAGAAGGAGGAGGAGAAGAGAGTGAGAGAGGAGTGATATGGAGACCGAAGACATAGAGAGAAGGAAGGATATGGAAGAAGCCGAAGTGAGATGGAGAAGAGAATGACATGGAGAAGAGAGTGATATGGAGAAGGAGTAACACAGAGGAGAGAAGGATAATGAGAAGGAGTGAAATGGAGGAGAGAGAGGACATGGAGAAGGGAGTGACATGGAGAAGAGAGGATATGGAGAAGGAGGATATGGAGACTGAAATGATATAGAGAAGGAGAGTGATATGGAGAAGGGGAGATACTGAGGAGATGATGGAGAAGGGAGGATACTGAGAGAGAAGATGATGACAGAGAAGGAGGAATTATGGAGAAGGATGATATGAGAAGAAGGAAGTGATATGGAGACTGGATAGGAGAGGAGTGATATGAGAAGGACATGGAGAAGGAGAGATAAGGAGGATAGGAGGACACGGAGGAGAGAAGTGACATGAGAAGGACAGATGGAAGAGTGAGAAGGAGAACTGAGAGATGGAGACAGAGAGGACATGGAGAAAGAGTGAGGAGAAGACAGTGACAGAGGAGAGAGTGACACTGAGAAGGAGTGATATGGACATGGAGAATGGACAACTGGAGAGAGAGGATAGGGGAGAAGGAGTGACATGGAGAAGGACAGATGAGACAGGAGAGTGTCACGGAGAAGGAGGGATATGGAGAAGGGAGTGACACTGGAGAAGGAGATGGACAAGGAGGAGAAGAGAGATATATGGAGAAGAGAGGAGAGAAGGATACAGAGAGACATGGAGAAAGGAGATATGGAGAGGAGACAGGGAGTGACACGGAGAAGGAGATATGGAGAAGGAGACAGGTTACCATGAACATTTTTCTCTAGCCATCAGCATTTACTTTCATTCTTGCTGTAGATGTTTAATGTCACCTTAGCAATATTCAAACTACTCAACAGCATGGTCTAAACGAGACAGTGGGTACAAATGAAATTAAAAACACCATAAATACCACCTAGTAAATTTAGCCACCTCACTAACTCATAATTCATGTGGGGCCTATTCTAACAATGACTAGGAATGGGAATAGACCATCTGCATCAGCGTAAGTTACAAACAGAAAATAATTTTGTCTTTACTACATTCAAATTTCTAAGTCTTGATGGGAGCTAGACATACAAGAACACACAAATTACTGACACTAAACTATTGGGTGAACAGTGAGCTTCCAGGACAGAGTTACTCCCCCTCAGTTACAAAAGTTCAAGGTAACATGTTTCAGCAATGAATTAAAACTGTCAAGAATTGACACACAGTTTTCAAACACAAGTCAGCACAGAAATACATCATAATTCATAAATACTGATAACTTCTGAAGCAGAACAGTGCATGAAATAAGATTTAGTTTCAGATTTTAGTTTGGAACTTACCTGGTTTCTTTCCGCACACATAAAAAGCTAATCTATCCGTCAGTTCATACTGAATCTCGACTAGTCGGTCTGCAAGATCATTGTGACCTTCAGCTCTGAAATGGTAGACATAGAAATTAGGAATACAACAAGCACTGGATATACAGTTTTACATACAGGCAACCGCGGTAACAGACAAATATACACCAGAAGTATATTCATGCCACATTACCATAGTTACTAATCATGACACAGCTGTGACTAGTGAGTGGTTGTTGTGTACTGCCTCACTCACTCACATTTCATTACAGACCCGTGAAGGCCCCAGTTAGAACTGATCTTCAGCAACCCATGCTTGTCATAAGAGGCTACTAACGGGATCAGGTGGTAAGGCTTGCTGACTTGGTTGACACATGTCATCGTATCCCAATTGTGTAGATCGATGTTCATGCTGTTGATCACTAGATTGTCTGGTCCAGACTCGATTTTTTTCAGACCGCCACCATATAGCTGGAATATTGCTGAGTACGGCGTAAAACTAAACTCACTCACTCGCTCACATTTGGTTTAAACATACTTTTATTTCGCCAAAGCAGAAACCTGGATAGGCGAACAAGCCTAGTGGCTTATATAAACACCGCTCCAGTACATTGTTCAAAATTAATAGCTGGATACATAAATGAAATAATTTGACAACAAAAGAATAATACAAATAACAAATATATGATTGAGTAACAAATATGTTCGTTCTAGTGTTGGTTATGCCTAGCAACGAAATGGGCTGCCGCAGAAAATCACGTTATATAAAATTTGTCTTACACTGAATATATATGTTGAGGGGATAGTTACTGGAGGCGGTTACTTTTAGAAATGAACTGGTGTAATGAGTTAAGAATGTCACTATTAGTTGACATATGTTATATTTTGGATTACACTTTCTTAGTTAAGTACAAATTCTAGTACTTTTTTGAGTTGAGCCCCATCCGGGATTCGAACTCACACCTTCAGAGTCAGGCACCTAATCGCCAGCACACAAAGTCAGCCGCCTAACCCGCTCAGCTACCGCGACTTCCTTGTGGAAGTTAGGCGGCTGACTTTGTGTGCAGGCGATTAGGTGCCTGACTCTGAGGGTGTGAGTTCGAATCCCGGATGGGGCTTTACTAAAAAAGTACTAGAATTTGTACTTTACTAAGAAAGTGTAATCCCAAATATAACATATGTTACATTTGACCACTTTCTCAATGGCATTGTGTAATCACTATTAGTTAAGTTATTCAATGCGCTGTTACCGTATAAAGTAGTTTTAACATCATATCCTTGAATATAAAAATACACAGTTGTTCTTGAGTTTTGAGAGTTCCGACATGTAAACAGGTAGTGAATAACGTCTTCGTTATAATAACCACATGAGGACCTGGGTGTGTCCGATATATGCTGATTATATGTGTCTGCGTTTAGATCACTACAGCCGAGCGATAATGAATGATTTGACAAAATCTAGTTCCAAAATTCAAATCAAAGTAATTGATTCAGGGAAATAGCGTTAACAGCTCCAACGGGCAATAAATTCCACGACATAATCGCGCTAGGTAAAAATGATTGAGAATATCTTTGCGTTCTACAATTAATAGTTTGAATGGAAGTACTATTTCTAAGATTATAGTTGCTTTGTTCGAGTACTCTACCTGGTACAAGATCGTTCAAATTATCAGGAGTCAGACGATGATACATTTTATATAAAGTTATGAGTTTAGAGTGATGTCGTCTTTCTTTCAGTGTTCTATAATTAGTTTCCCTGTATATTTTATCGTGACTGGTGCCACGAACCGCACCGCTTATAGTTCTTAAGGCGTCTAAATGTAAATTTTCCAGTAAAATCAGTGTTCACGAATAATAGCGTCTGCTGACAAATATAGTTCTTAACTGAAGTTGTTTTATGTGACATGTGCTTGTTTGCTGTTTATAAATCTTATGTTTGTTAATAATTTCAATAAATGTAAAATTTTCCAGTAAAATCGAAACTTACTGTTCAATCGTACAATTATCCCATATATGACAGCAGTAATCAAAAAGTGGTAAGATAAAGGAGTTGTATAAAGTATTAAGCTTTTCCGAGATAAACAATATTTCAAACTTCTCAGACAATTGATCATTGGACTAATTTTCTTTATCATGTGACCTATATCATATGAACTTTCCAAGAACAATCGCTTCGAAACTGTTGAACTCAATCATTTCTGCAATTCTCAGCACCATCCACTGCCTTTCCTTCCATGACAGCCCTCTCACAAACACAATTATATCAGTGTTTCAGAGGGAGGCATTTCTCCCTAATGACAAATCTTCTCCCTAATGACAGCCTTCCAGAAAACCTAATCAAATCAGTAATTAAGTGGCAGACATTTCCTCCCTACAACAGCCTTCTCAGGGCCCTAATCCAATCAGGATTGACTATGCAGATTCTGCTTCTTTTAACCTTAAGTTGTGCTTGCTTCCATTTGTTATGTAACATCTGAATTGTACAGAGTTGTATGTATGTAAATAAATGTACAAAAATATATATCTGAATTCGTTGTGTATGTCTATAGACCGATAGACCTCACGAGCTGATCACCCAGGCATATAATCCGGATTATCTGGATTAGTTGAGAAGAAAAAACATAATTAAAAGTGGCTTAACACTACTGGTCAAATGCACATGAAGCAGACCTAATGTTTCCCCCACATAGCTAGAAGGTCTGCTTGATGTGCATAAACCAGTATGTCACAGCCTTATCAAATCAGTGTTTTAAAGATAGTCATTTCTTCTCAATGGCAGTCTCCAAAGAAACCCTATAGAAAGCGTGTTTTAGAGGGAGACATTTGTCCTGTATGCTTCTCACCTGGCGTAATCAATGGGTGTCTTCCCGCCCAGGTCCAGCGCCCCGGGGTCAGCTCCGTACACCACCAGCAGCTCCACCTGGGAGGCCTGGTTCGCCTGAGCTGCTATGTGGAGGGGGCAGTTACCCTTCTCCTGAAACAACAACAGCTTCGTGTTGTTTACATGGATGTTGTTTGTATTTTTATGCTGTGCATGGTTGACTAAGCAATCTAAGGATGAAAGTACACTACATTGAGCTGCTGCTTCAACTGGTCCTCCAATCAAAGATTCAGCCAAATCCTAGCCTGAATAGCATCCCACCATGAACTGTTTTCAGTGAGCATGTGATAAGAGACTTCATACCACTTTGAACAATGTCACAGTCACGTGAAACCACGCGAGTTTGATGTTGGAAGAAAGCCATATACATTCAAACCCACAGCCACAGTATCTCAAATACAGCCAGGCCGCGTTAATCCGAACACTTCTGTTTTTCATCAAAAACGTTCAGATAGTGAAACGTACAGACTACTGAAATGAACCATTATATACACAACTACAGTAGAAGTAAGTACAGCAAGTAAGCATGACAGGTATTACTAAAACTAACAAAAAAGGTGAGCTTGATTGATTAAAATCACAAACTAACGACATGTTCAACTCAGAAGTGTCACCTCACTTATCAATTACCATTGAAGTTTACCGATGAAGATCAGTGCTAATCAATGGTGCTCGCGAGGTAAGTGGATTATCCAAACCTTTTTGATGTACCGACTGATTAATGAAGCAAAACCAAGTCTAATTAGCTAATCCGTAACCGCTAATTAACGTCCAGATCCGAGAGTGAAGCACCAGATTAATGGATCAACAGTTAATGATTTTACATAGTAAACAAGATTGGTTACAGCTAGCTACCGTTTGGATATCGTGGGAATCGGATTATCGGGGTCCAGACTAACACGGCCTGACTGTAAGCATTATATTTACGTGGAATCTTGGATGTGAACACACATCTATTGCAACTAAACATGGCTAAGGGACACAACTACTGTAGCTTAAACCAGCCATGCACCAGATGGAACTTAAACAGAGTTGTCAGGTACATACCAAGTGAAAATAGTTAGGATCCGCTCCTTTTGATAACAGTCTGAGACACGTCTCCACATTATTTGTTCGAACACTCGAATGCAACTCCTGAAAAACATCACAAGACAATGAGTATTATGACAACTGTCAAATAAGACAGAGCATAATTCTGACAAGTCCAAACATTCAATCAATGGCATGTCATTGTTGACAGAATGTGAAAATAATTTTCAATCAGATCACTTTTGTGGGCAAAATGACATGCAGGTGTAAAGTTATGTATGGTGAATGTTTATTCAGCTTATGAAAATACAGGAATTATCTCCCTTGAACCCTTGATTATCTCCCTTATGCCAACCTGGAACATTGCACTTGGCAATACAATAACATAATGAAACTAATGAAAATTGCAAACAGTTTATTGCAAGACATTTTTCATCTTGAAAATGTTAGTCAGATTTGCAAGTTCAGGTCTCCATAAGATGTAGACAGTACAACAGAAGACGTCTGCCATAGATCTGCCATTACAGTCATCTGTGCACACTGATTGATAATGAACTTACTTTGCTGACATCATCAATGGAGCTGATGTCGCTGTCTTTATGCTTGTTAACAAATGACAAGAACTGGTATTTGGCACGTATGAAGTCAGATTTGTTGGGGCTGCAAATAAAACAAATGAATTCATTTGCAGCTGGAACTCGCATCCAAAAACTGAAAGAACAGGCCATCAGATACTCTCTGGGAATAAACAATGGAGACAGTAGCAGGGATTTACATGGAGTCCTGTATTTGAGGGGCCCTGGGACTCATACTCTTAACTTTCAGGGGTCCTGGACAAGAAATTGGGGTCCGAGACACTTGAATATTATCATTAATACTGTTATTGTATTTTGTATCACGATCATCACATTGTTACAGTAATTAAATTGCAAATAATACTATAACCAGCTGGAAGCAAACTCAGTGATAACTTATTGGTACTTGATGGGAATTCTTACAAAAAAGTATTTGAACTTTTTCTGAGTCCCTGTGGACGCGATAATAACTTTGGTTGCGTCCATTGTCAATTTTTATGAGTATAGGACGGAGGAATTCGCGTTCTGTAAATCCCTGCATTAGTGACAGATTTTACTAAAATGACTGGATATTTGTACTGATTTTAAAACAATGGCTCTCTGAAATCTACGCCTGACATATTTGTGTCTGATCTTACTGTAATGGTTCTCTGGGGTTGGGTTTCCGACGGCCATGTTTGTTCTGTGATGGGTCCAACAGTGCATGTTCCCATATATTATTGGCTCCCTGCTTTGCAAGTTGATATACCATCTGGGGAAAAAGGAAGAATTAATCAGATTTAAACCTTAGAAGTCAGTGAACGTTGTTAATCTAGTAAATAATCAAACAAGTACTACAGTGCCAGAAAGGAAAGCACAAGCCACCTGGACTGATCAACAGACTCATTTCATGAAGTGATCATAGCTGTAAGTCGTGTTATAGCATAGGAGTTGCGAGAGTCGTAGCACTACGACCACTTCGTGCAATGGGACCCAGTTTTGTCAATGTTAAGGTATCGTAGTGGTTAGTTGAATTTTGAAACATTTTGGGCTTGTCTTGTTATATGTTATCACTATTCTCAAAGTAGACATTCTTGGTTTATATCCACCCTGAAGTCTGGCTGAAGCCATCAGTATACCATGACACACAGCCAAGCCAGGAAGCCGTGAAGCTTCACCACCTCATTCAATCTAGTGATTTCTTAGGGCATTTAAGCAGAACCACCCAAAAATACATTGATATATTGTCTGTTATCAATATATCAACCAAAAAGACAAACAACCCACTAATACCTTAGCTGGCCCAAAAGATTTATGTCTAATATTATTATGGAAAAACATTTTAAATATACAGTGTCTTTAATACTGTGCTAAGTACAGTGTACTCTGTCAATACCGGCATCAGTCGGGACCAAGTAAAAATGCCGGTTTTGACAGAGTGCCGGTTTAGCTAGGTTCGCTTATGACGCCTGCGCACACGGAAGTTCGCTGTCGTACTGTCACTTTAGCATTAACAAGATGTTTGAATAAGAAACAAGGCAGTGTCTGAATGCACATTCATGTTGTTTAAATCAAATAAAAATCTCTTATTAAATTTCAACTGATCATATATTATCGGCAGAATTAAAATTATAAACTATTTTTCGCAATGTTATTGCAAACAACGATTCTTGTTTATGCTTCGGCAGCGGGTCTACAATAGCATTGTCAAAGAGCAAAGTAACGATGTTTCAAACATGGAGGAATGTATTAAATAAATTGAAATCAACAATAACATTCATAAAAGTTGTCAAACGTGTTACATATAAAATTACTATTTCCATACTTTTGTGCGATCATGCAATGTAAGTCAAGTCACTGACAAGTTACATCTCGGCTTTCACACGATGCTTAATGTGAAAATATATGCATGAAGCATTTTTGTCATAGGCCATAACCTAGCACGATATGTCCAATACGTTCCATAATTTACGATATAGGTAGCGATGTCTTTCTTAATATGTTCAGAATAGCATTATTTTACCCAAAACCTTCGTCTTAATCTAAAAGTTTCCGTTTACGAGGGCGGTATCCATTTCCATAATATGATTGGCTGCTTAGGTCACGTGTCTGATTTTGACCAATCACGACCCTTATAAGCAGAGTGTAGTGAAAAAAGCGTCGTTAGAAACCAATCTTTATCCAATAAAATCGCTTCTTACAAATGTGAAAATACTCTCGGCAAGAGTACAGTGATATTGTTGATGTTCAGAGCTTTCGAACGATACCCGCCATCAAACGATTAGCCTCTATGTAAGTGACACGTGCCACTCACTAATTAACAAGAAACTGATTGGCACTTCCCGTTTCTGAATAATCTCGGGAGTCAATACCCGCGAATCAACAAAATGTAAACACTTGCTTGTTTATACAGTCAAACTGCCCACTACATGTATTAATTACTCTGGGTAAGTGTTACGTACCACTCACTGATTAACAGGATGCTGATTAACACTTCCCGTTTCTGAATAATCTCGGGAGTCACAGCGAATTGTGTTGTTACATCATTTGGACCTAATCTCATCAAAGGGTTACGCCGTCTTTCATGTGCCGGTTTTTTACAGATTCGTTTTCATAACAACTTGTTCGTTGGGACTGAAAAACAATGCCGATATCCTGAATAGACAGATGCCGATGTTTACAGAAGTTTCTAAATGATAATAACGTGCATTTCTGCCGGGACTGAAACTTTGTGCCGATGTAGACAGAGTGCCGGTGTTTACAGAGGCCGGTATTGACAGAGTCCACTGTAACTTGTACATTTGCTGAACTGAACATGCTGACATTGAATTGAACAAACTCATAAATTCTACATGAGTAAAGCCAATACCAGGTTTCATTTGAAGCATTTTTCCTGATTCATACTATGTACCATAATAATGTAACCCAAATAAAGCTAAAGCATGTTCTACAAAATTATGAAAAGATATGCATATGATTTGAACATGTTTAATAAAAACATACCAATATATTTTCTAAGCCATATTATCTCACCTAAATTTAGGTCACCTAATTTGGTCACAAATTAGTACTTGCCTGTTTTTTCACAATTTTTTTTCAAGATCATGAAAAATGTCAATTTTTCTTAATTACGTGAAAAGATGTTATGGCTGTTTTAAGAATATTTTTCTTTATACTCAAAATATTTTTTTTGTTTAAAATTGAATGAGTCAGATGTTATGAAAGGCAGGAACTTTATAAAACACAGACGGATATACTTTTATAGTTGCAAGTTTCAAGTGAACACGATCAGCTCCATGAGTCAAAGCAATAATTGGTCAAGCCTTACAACAAATGTGGAACGGAAAACATGGCTGCAGGAGTAAGGTGAGGTGAGGTGAAATTGGGTTTAACGTCGTGCTTGAGAATATTGCAGGAGTAAGGGATTAACATGATAAATGTGTTTTCTGACTTTATATTTCTGAATAAAAATAAGAATAGATTAACATCTAGTCCCTGAAATGAACATATTTTACAGAAAATGGTTCCTAAGTTCTATTAATAAACTACAATAAAAAGGAGCCCCGAGACTTTCTTCATGAAACAGTGGTAATCTAGACTTGCATGGGCTGCATTAGGAATATTTGTTTTAGGATCTGTAGGATAGACTAAAATAAGAACAGACATCAGGGATTGGTTCACACTTAACATATCATAGTAAATGACACCAGTTGTCAACTCCCACCAAGACAAGTCCCACCCAACATGCACTTGTAATTCTAACAGGTTTAAGTTACATGAAAATATTTGCTGTATTGTAAACACATGTTTGTCATCAGATCCTTGTTAAATAAAACTGAAAGACAAATAAATAAACAGTTTACATGTTGAAAGTTTCATTGCAATATTTCTATACATATCATGTATGATTTTCTTCCATATATATGGAAACTTGATCATGGAAGTTTTATAATAGGTTGAAACATGTTTAAGAAAAGTTAGCAAATGAAAATATTTTGAAACCACACTTTGATTAACAATCTTGCCCTTTCATTTATAATCTGGGATCTTGAAATCTTGCCATTTTTTATGATTATTACATGAAAACATCCTGGAAATAACCATAATATCTATACAAGTCATTTACATGTCAGAGTTTCTCAAAGACCAGGATTCCTTCATCAGAGATTAATCATGCTCTGACCTTCTGCTAAAAGTCCTCAGTTAAATGCAAGAGCTGACTTCATCACGTCAGAACAAGAACTGTCCATTATAATTTTCAAATTTAAAAAAGACAAATACATTAATCAATTTCAGCATGAATTCTTTGAAACATCAAAAACCTAAGAAGAAAAATGTTGAACAAATTAAAAGAAACAGAACTTAATAATCAATGTTTGTTCGTATTAGTTTTGAAAGTTTAAAATCCAATCTGAAATTGACATGTAGAAATTGAAATTGACAAATGAAACGTGAAATAGGCATCCTTACAGCATGCTGTGTCGGGCTCCACTGCCCTTTCTTGAGAGACTTGACTTGTGAAATGTGACGTCCCAGGCTGCGATGTACACTACAGCACTCATCACATATCAACACTCCCCGGTTGATGGACGCCCACACTGGATCTGAAAATATGGCCACGGAACATTAGTGCTGTAATTACAAGATGCCACATTCAGCATGTTCAGTCTTCATATCCTATGTAAGTGAGTGAGGTTAGTTTTACGCCACCTTTAACAATATTCCAGCAATATCTCGGCGGTTTACACCAGAAATGGGCTTCTCACATTGTACTCATGTGGGGAATCAAACCCAGATCCTCAGTGTGACGAGCGAACACTTTAACCACCAGCTAATTAGGCTACCACCACCCCTCATACCCTAAGCAGCAAGCCTACGATCTGGGTAGTTCCTGTTATAAAGTATCAAAGATATCAAATCTACCCATTGATTTAGCCCAAACTGTACTCAAACATGTCACTACCATCAGCATGACGTGCTGATACATACGATAAAATATTGTTTTCAATAAGGACATGGCTGACTTGTAAAATCCAAAATCCAAGGGGAACACATTTTGGGCCCAGTGATGGAGAGGGAGTGATAAGGGTTGTGATATACATACTCCAAATGAAATGGACAACCTGTGGTTGATAGTATGAGCAACATAATCACCAGGTTACAATGACAGCTAGACAACCCAATAATCTCTAGTCATCTTGAAGGTCATATATGAGCTATTGGAGAAAATTCTGACCTAGTTCAGAACAGTGGAAATTCAGAGTTAGAAAAATTAATGTCAAGGTACAGGGTGAAGCTTGAGTTTCCAAAGTATGACCTTTCCCTTCTATCATGATAAATATATATCACATTAAAATGGAGACATAATACACAAGTGAGTGAGTGAGTGAGTGAGTGAGAGTGATTTACAGTAACATATTCAGTATTTCAGAAATATCGTGACTAAAACAAGTTTTAAATTTACCATAAACACATGTAAATTATAAAATGCCTGTCAGCGAAGGACAGTAATAACAACCAGAATATCACAGATATGACTATAAAACTAGTATGTAAATCTAAAATAGTGTGCGTGCATGTGTGCGTGTGTGAGAGAGAGTCTGGTTTCACGTCACTATTCCAGCAATATCACAGGAAGGAACACCAGATAGGGGCTTCACACATCGTACCCATGTGAGGAATTGAACCCGGGTCTTCGGCGTGACAAGCAAATGCTTTAACCACTAGGCTACCCCACCGCCCCTCATAATACATGAAACAATAGAGGATGATCACAACCTGTGATAGCCAAAACTATACAAAAGAGAAACAGGGCATACTTCACTAGAGGTTATTGGACATGCTGTATCTTGTGGTGCTTGTTGTCAGAAATGGTTTAACATTAAGGTGGAAGGAACCGACACATTTCCAGTTTTCTGTTTTTGCATAATGCTACACTTCATATTAGAGCTTTATGATGGTGGACTCTGATTACTAAAATCTAGGCAGGACTGTCTAGTGACCTTCATCATGTAAATGCATCCACACAAAAAAGATAGTAGTAGTAGTAGCAGTTGTAGTATAAGATATTTCTATAGCACACATATCCATGCAACTAGTGCATGCTCAAGGCACTGGCATTTTTTCCCTCCATCACTGGATGTCGATCTCAATGGCACATCGTATTATCAATTTCAACTCCCTTGGGAACATACAACTTTAGCAGCCATTAGGCGCACCGAGTTATTGCAGTTTTCCCATCCTTACAAGGTACCCATACACAGCTGGGTGGACTGGGACACATAGTGACAGTACTTTGTCCAGGTTTACTGCACGTTGCTGTACCCTCAACTAGGTGTTTGCACGTATTCATGTGGCCACCATCTGGTCATATACCAATGGATTCATGGGTTCTTTTAAGTGTACAGGGTTGTGTACTGTACACTTGGGGTTGTGACAACACTGGAAGAGTCTGCACACAAATTTGACTCCAAGGTTTTTACAACCGATCACAGGTGATGATATGTCACTTCTTACCATGCTTACCATGAAGGAGCAGCACCGTTTTGAGTTTCAATTGGACCCAGGAAACATATGATGGTCGTACAAGGAGACATAATGGACACGATGGTTAGACTTTGTGACTCGTTCCTGACCGTGTGGATCTATGCTCATAACATCAACCCTTTGATCCCTACCCAGCATCCCCATGGATTTTACATTATCACTCACTGTCAGACTTATAATCAATCAAATCAGAGATTCTAACCAATCACAGGATCCTGGTATGTGTAAGGGATACAATTCTATGTGAAACTTTAGATGACCCCATGTATTCTACATTTCATTTTATGTAACAAATGTTATATTTGGGATTACACTTTCTCAATAAAGTACAGAGTGTAGTACTTTTGTTGGGTTGAGTCCATCCAGGAATCGAACCCACACTCTCAGAGGACTGGCTGACTGAGTTTGGTTTTACGCCGCTTTTAGCAATATTCCTGCAACATCACGGCCGGGGACACCAGAAATGGGCTTCACACATTGTGCCCATGTGGGGATTCGAACCCGGGTCTTCGCCGTGATGAGCCAACGCTTTAACCATTAGGCTGCCCCAACGCCCCTAATCTCAGAGGAAGGCACCTAATTGCCAGCACACAAAGTCAGACGCCTAACCCGCTCAGCAACCGACTTCCACGAGTGCACTTGACATTGCATTTTTTTACATTTGACCAATGTAATATACGTGCAAACACCTAGGGTACAATGTGTGAAGCCCATTTCTGGTGTCCCCTGTAGTGAATTTGCTGGAATATTGCTCAAAGCAGCACAAAACTAAACTCACTGACTCACTCTTTTTTTATAAAGATCTTGATGTTGAATGTGGGCATCAGGAAGAGCATGATAAGGTACACTGATAATTATAATTATGATTTTTAGTCAGTCTGAATCGTAACAATGTGTTGTTGACTGACTATTCCCATCATCCTGACTGTCAGCCCTTAGCAGAGAGTGATCAAGTTAATGCTGTTTAGAACCTTCTTTCTGTCATACCATGGAATGTCAGCCCTGGTAAGTTGGGTTGAGAGGAAAATCAGAAAAAATGTTGCTCTTAGATGAATACCACCATTCCCGGCAGATCGAAGGTCTCTGCACATTGATAATTTCAGTGCCTAGCACATGGTAGATGGTGCTCAGCAAACCATTTCTCACACCCTTAGTTGTCACCATGGTGACATATACAACAGCTGAATGCAACAACATCCATACAGCACCGCAACATGTGCAACACTGCTGACAAGTGCAATATGTCACATCTGTTGTTGTTGTAATGTCAAGCAGGAAATAGACATAACTCATTAAATAAATATTTCCTTCATTGTAAAACATGTGCCTCATTATGAAACTAGGCAAATGATATCAAAACTCATCATGATCACAGCATTGACATTTTTCCATTTAAAGTTTCTGTTTTTAGGAAATATTTACCTTTCTGTTTCAGTGGAAACAGGAAATTATGCTATCCATGATGCCCATTTTATCATGTGTAGCCTGATCTGTGGTAACATATATTTCCCAAAACCAAGGAACTAATAATTTCTTGCTTCCTTATCAGTGCTTAAGATTAGGAATGGTGGGGTACCCTAGCCATTAATGTGTAACACCCAACACTAAGATGTGATCATATGAAGAGGAGTCAGGATGCCTCATGCCATCATATGTCTTTCATTGGATGAGTGAGTGAGTGAGTGAGTGAGTGAGAGTGAGTGAGTGAGTTTTACACCACTTTATGCAATATTCCAGCAATATCACAGCTTCACACATTGTTCCCATGTGGGGAATCGAACCCGGGTCTTTGGCATGACCGAGTGAATGCTTCAACCACAAGGCTATCCCACCGCCTCTACACGTACAGACAGAGTAAGCAAAAACGCCTACTAACAGAAACATTTCACGTGTTGGATCATCTTTCCCAGACATCACTGAAAAATATTCCTTATTAAATGTTATAAATATATATTACCATCTGTCATAAAAAAAGCAGAGGGGTGGAAATGGGTCATTATCAAAACCATGCTTTTGACAGATTACATGATGACATGTCCAGAAAACATGACATGTTGTGTTTTAGGCCTTTTAGAAACTTGAACAAGTTCCATGACTCTCTGCCTGTATACCATCCTCGATAATCTTCAGGGTATACGTTACGATAAATTTCCACTAGTACCCTGGATGCATCTATGGCTTGGCCCGATAATTTTATTACCTCCCTTTAATGACTCCGCATTCTCACAGTAGCCAATCAGCTAAGCCGCCGTTACAAGCGAGCTTGCCAGTGTCAACGAAGATAGCGGTCACAGCCACGAAGGTTTGTTTGCAGTGTGACTCAGATTTTGGGGGAAATCAAACAGACAAATTGACAGCTCTGAAGCCTTAAAAAATATATGCACGAACTCTTTCTACCTCTGCAACAATTATGTTGCCAAGTTTAATCGGTTAGTAAAAGAAGCGTAAGTGAATTGTGATTGGTACGCTCAACTTTCCAATGTAGAAACCTGATTGGATAAAAAGCCAGCCAAGGGAGGCAATAAAATCATGGGTCCAAGCCGTAGATGCATCCAGGAAATAGTGGAGATTTATCGTAGGATGCCTGTATAGTAATAGTATCATCTGCTGCTGAAGGGAACCCTTCACATTCCTGTTTTAAATATGTTACTTCTTCAAACAACATTTTCAGTCTAAATAGATGTATATTGTTTTCGAATTAGTCAATATAAATATTTCCTTGATTTAGTTTTAATATGCACTCAGTCTCAAGCACACAAACATCTGAAAGAGCACCCTCAATGACAGCATTGGAATTGAAGTGTTTCCTGGCATCATTGAGTTTTTCTGCTTTAAAGTATTTAAATCTGATCCTTTACACCTTTCCTTTCCATTATGAGGGTTATGACAAGAACTCAACTTCAGAAATGTTTGTCTTTGCTCATTCTGATGCTGAAATGTTCACTGAGTTCCTGAGCATGATGTATATATATCAATATGTAATAATAATAATTGAGAATACACTAACCGAATGAACCATCAAGCTTGAACTGAAATTCATGGTAACATTTTTTATCATGTTAATAGATATATGAAAAAAGGGAATTATCAAAGCAAGGTCTCACTCAAATAACCATGTTTATGTCATGAAAGTAACATGCGAAAGAGTTTGGTTGGATGCATCGTGTAACTAAAACTGTCAAATAAAAAATATAGGTGAATGGCATATGCTGAAGCTGGAAAACTCATCATTCCATTACCAAAAACACAAACTATATACAAACGTTCTGTATTACTTTGCATTAATAATACTATCAAAATTTGGCAATCTTTGCTCAACAAGCTAAAGCTGAAATATATCAAAGGTCAAGCCAATAAAACACACAAACAATGCACCTATTCCATCTGCACATCTTGTATGACTCAAAGAGGAACATGGTTCCAAGTTAAAGTTCCAAATGTGAGATGAAATGGTGAACGAGTGTGGGTAATCTTACTTATCAGATAAAGCAGCTGCAATGGCATTTTAATAACATTTCTGAATCTTGGCCATTACCTGATGCACCGCAGTCGGCACAGGCGGTAGAATACATGGTTCCTCTCGACATGACGACGGTCTGGGAGACACGCAAGCGGTCCCGAGTGAAATTTGAGATGTACGTACGACCCGACCCCCAGGAAATGGGGAGATGTCAAGAGTTCAACAGAGAGCTTCTGTCAGATTCTTTCAGAAGACGTGCACAAAAATGCCATCACAACCTGCGTATGGCAATTCGAGCGGTTAATATTGCACAGTTATGAACACAAAATCATTGTCAGCTGATTCTTTGCAAAATTGTAGCTTCATAAGGTGTCGATTTTGTCCAAATCGTTCCAATTCCTTGTGTTATCATTCCAAATTTACATCGAAGGCAGGACTAGGCCTAGACTGAGTCATCAATGAATCTACTAGTCGTAAAAACATAATTCCTTTAAGATGTCGCTTTGATATCATTCCTTTCACATTTCATTAAAGAGTTTATCGCCCCACAATGTCTATCATTTGTTTCTGTTATCAATGACAAAATATCGTAAACGTCTGCGTCTCTTTTGCGACTGCCGTAAAGTAGGTCACTTCCGAAATTGCAAATGAGTCAGAATGAAGTAGAATGCATTTCCTAGTTTTGGGTGTCGGCGAGCGTAATGATCTGTCAAAATACTTCTGACTGAAGCATGACCTCTAAGACATTATCTGAAGAGTTCCCCATACACTGGCTTGTATGGCACAATGATTATGAAAACCTTGACCGCGAGTTAGCAAAGAAAACGGTTAGTAATTAGGACTAGGCCTAGATGGCGTGTGAAAAAATTATCATGATGAACAGCGTTCACTGTTGTTGTCTAAGATTATGTTGTTTGGTTATATCCTCATAGTGGTTAGATTCAGTACAGGTGTCTAGTAAACATCCTTCAAACGGATAGTAAATGTGTTAATTTAATTTTGTTCACTTTTACCTCTTTGAAATTATCTTTTGTTTGCGAACAGAGGTGGGTTAACTTGCGTATAAAAACAATGAATTTGTCTCAAGATATGTATGTAAAGGATAATTAAGAATCATATTCACTTGTATTTTTTCTGTGACCTGACAATGGTTATTTCATGCTTCCCCTCCTCTACACCACCCAACATCAATAATTATGTTCAGAAGCATCAAAAGTCCAAACTTCCTTGAATGAGGTACAGGCATGTCTCTACTTTGGTGCATACAAATAGTTTTGGTTTATGGTTGATTGTTATTATTAGCAAACATTATATGCCAATGTTTATTTACAATTCAAACAATGGATCTGCAGGTGTACATGGTGTGAACATGGTAAAATCTGAGTAAATTATCATTTTTGCAGCATGATAAGGAGTTGTTGGACCCTAGGGGTAGAGCTCCTCTGCAGCTAGCAGTGACCCTAGGGCACATTGAAAGTGCTCGTGTTTTGCTGAGACATGGAGCTGACGCCAATTCTGAAAATCTCAAATACTGGTCAGGTATGTATTTAAAAACAGAACACAGACCTCGGAATGAGCACACCGTATGTTTATAACTCATACATGTTTATAACTCATTTTTGTCAGTACTACACTGACTTTCTATGAACATTCTTATTGAGCAGAGACAATAGTTCTGCATTAATCAACAAATAGGCTTACAAGATGTTTTAAGAGGTGATGCAACGGCATTTTATGTTTTCCTGTAGGCAAGGTTTGTCACAAATTGTTTTAGTGTTTAAGAAAAATGTTCAGTTTTGATAAAGATAAGTAACATTTTAAAAAATTGTCGAAGCTACTAGATCTCTAACAAGAAAATTACCTTTAGGATGAAATCTGTACTTGAATTATTAAGCATGGAATAATGTAATGCAAGGTACAGTCAGGACGTGTTAAAGCCAGGCCATGTGATGACCACTTTAAAAAACTATAGCCTACATTGTAAGGATCAGTCAAAATGAATTGATCTGCAGTAGCTGAAAACCCTGCTGTGTCCTTATCTCCCACTTGTGCAACCATCACAAGTGTTAATTCTTTTGTTTTCAAAGTAAATTGAAATGTAAATTGACTGACTTGTTAATAAACTTGCAACCATGTTACAGCCATATTTTTAGACCAAACATAGCATGTTCAAAAGTGCTACATGTAAGGATGACCTTTGAAACTGTCATTTTCCTGTTAGTCATCCATTTCAGCATAAATATGATGTAAGCCAGGCAATATTGTATTTGGGACACCTTAATCATATTTATGCAGAGGCCCAGATAACTTGCGGTAAAATACGCATAGAAAATTTCCAATTACGCATTGAAAAATAATTGTTGCGTACCAATTACGCATTTAAAATGTTAGATACGCAAAATGTTTAAAACAAATGCGTACGGAATATATTTATAAAAATCGCTTGCGTAATGAAAAAGACATGGATTGCTATCAAGTTGTACTGTTAGTATAGGACTGGTGTTGTACTGTCAGTATAGGATGAGGGATTTTTAATGAAAGCAGTGGGTAACGGAAAATGAAATACCCACTCAACATTCATAATACCCACTCCCAAAAAATACAGTGGGTACGGTACCCACATGAGCTAAATCTTATCTGGAGCTCTGTTTATGCATTTATGAAGCCAAAAGTCTTGTCTGTACAAATCTATGCACTACACATGTTGTCTTCCAGATTTACTAACAAATTTACAAGGTCATTTAAAAATTTAACGATGATCCATGGTAGAACTGGTCGCTTGCTACCAATGTTTGTCGTAAGAGGAGAATGATGGGTTCAGGTGGTCATGCTCACTGAATTGGTTGATGTGTTTCATTTTAATCCCAACTGCCAAGATCAATGTTTATGATGCAAATTACTGTTAAGTTCAGCATTAAGCAGCAAACGAACGAAGAATACAAGATTTTATCAATATTTCACATGACATTCTTCTATACCAGAACTGTGATAACTGTTTAAAGTAGATTCTTTGGGACTTTTTGGTATATCAGTCAATGGATTAGAAAATGAATCAATCTGAAACCCTGAATCCTTATAATAACAAGGTTTGATCATGTCTTGTTAAAAAAGTGATATTAGGACAGTACATGAACACCATTGTCTCTTTTAGTAGCACTGTAGAATCTATCGTGTCAGTGGAGGCTGACTGACTTCTGCATTTCCGCTACTTTACTGTTTCAACAGGAGTTTCGACCCTGAAGACAGGGTTACGACCCATGAAGAACATTGATCTTCAGTAACCTAGTGCTTGTCATAAGAGGCGACTAACGGCACTAGGTGGTCAGGCTCGCTGACTTGGTTGACACGTCATCGGTTCCCAATTGCGTAGATCGATGCTCATGCTGTTGATCACTGGATTGTCTGGTCCAGAACTGATTATTTACAGACCGCCGTCATATAGCTGGAATAGTGCTGAGTGTGGCGTAAAACTAATCTCACTCACTCAATAGGAGTTTCAGTACATGTGGTAGTACCTTTAGCAGTTTAGCAAGCAAGTGATCAGCAATTGGATAGGACATGGTATTAGAGTTGAGGTTGCATATATATATACAGGGATTAACAAAAAAGAAAACAGTGAGGCCACAAATGTAGCCTGATAAAATGATGATAGTGATGTACATGAACAATGATGATAGAGATGATTGATGGCTGTGTGTGATTCTAGTTGATGAACGTTTTATAGGCTGATGGAAAGGTATTACCTTGGCTTGGATTTGTCTTTTGATGTCACTGCTGTCATCACTAAATCACCTTTGCATATTTTGTTTTGTTGCATTTTTCCCCCCGAACTTTGATACTTGAAAGGCTAATCTTAACTATATAACACCGATATACACAGATGTTGATCACTATCTCGCTGAAGGTACCAGCACATTTACTGGAATATATATTTCATTGAGAGAATAAATTGGTTGAAATCTATACTAGATTTGTGTTCATTACTATTGCTGAAGCTGTGAATCAACTCCTGTTGTCTAAACCTGTGTTGTCTGAACTACTGTTGTCTGAACCTGTGTTGTCTGAACTACCGTTGTCTAAACCTGTGTTGTCTGAACTACTGTTGTCTAAACCTGTGTTGTCTGAACTACTGTTGTCTAAACCTGTGTTGTCTGCACTACTGTTGTCTAAACCTGTGTTGTCTGCACTACTGTTGTCTAAACCTGTGTTGTCTGAACTACTGTTGTCTAAACCTGTGTTGTGTGAACTACTGTTGTCTAAACCTGTGTTGTCTGAACTACTGTTGTCTAAACCTGTGTTGTGTGAACTACTGTTGTCTAAACCTGTGATGTCTGAACTGCTGTTGCCTAAACCTGTCTTGTCTGAACTACTGTTGTCTAAACCTATGTTGTCTGAACACTTTTGCCTAAACCTGTCTTGTCTGAACTGCTGTTGTCTGAACTACTGTTGTCTGAACTGCTGTTGTCTAAACCTGTGTTGTGTGAACTACTTTTGTCTAAACCTGTGTTGTGAACTACTGTTGTCTAGACCTGTGATGTCTGAACTACCGTTGTCTAAACCTGTGTTGTGTGAACTACTGTTGTCTAAACCTATGTTGTCTGAACTACTTTTTGTCTAAACCTGTGTTGTGTGAACTACTGTTGTCTAAACCTGTGTTGTGTGAACTACTGTTGTCTAAACCTGTGATGTCTGAACTGCTGTTGTCTAAACCTGTCTTGTCTGAACTACTGTTGTCTAAACCTATGTTGTCTGAACTACTTTTGTCTAAACCTGTGTTGTCTGAACTGCTGTTGTCTGAACTATAGTTTGGCATGAAATGCATGTTGACCCGTTTTTTTGTAAATATCTCTTCATCCAATGACCCAATCGATCTCAAACTGTGCAAGTGGATGTTTTGTCAGACAACCTAATCACATTGTAAATCACCGATTTTATGCATTTGTATTAAAGAATCTGTCTATGTAACTGTCAACAAAATAAACAGCAGACCGCAGACTGCTTGCAGAGGGAGGGAGCCAATGACCTGTAACAGTGGCAGTGTTGGGTCATAAAGGTAAATGCACGTGCAGTTCATGATAGTTACCTGTGCACTGCACAGTGATAGACCGCTTGGATCATTCACATTGACTACTTCTAGCTGTCATCATGAAAGTTTATTCAGATGATGCTAAGCGTTTAATTAGAAATGTGTTGAATTTTTTTAAAAAGAGAGCAAGCGTAGCAAACCCGATTTATAAGGTGTCGGATTACATGAAGCGTACAACTTTTGCTCCTGGCATGAAAAGAACATCGTGCTAAAAATTGTGAAAAATAAACCAACAACCAATAAACAAAACCTTGTACAAAAAGGTAGGCATCCAAAGTTAGATTCTTTTGACATCAGGGTCATCAGAGATGTCATTCGCCGGCTATTTGCTAGAAATGAACACCTCTTCATACCTGTCACGTGCATAGCTGACCTACATTGACGAACGATGACCTTTATGACCCAACACTGCCACTGTTACAGGTCATTGGCTCCCTCCCTCTGCAAGCAGTTTGCGTTCTGCTGTTTATTTTGTTGACAGTTACATAGACAGATTCTTTAATACAAATGCATAAAATCGGTGATTTACAATGTGATTAGGTTGTCTGACAAAACATCCACTTGCACAGTTTGAGATCGATTGGGTCATTGGATGAAGAGATATTTACAAAAAAACGGGTCCACGTGCATTTCATGCCAAACTATACTGTTGTCTGAACTGCTGTAGTCTAAACCTGTGTTGTCTGCACTACTGTTGTCTAAACCTGTGATGTCTACACTACTGTTGTCTAAACCTGTGTTGTCTGAACTGCTGTAGTCTAAACCTGTGTTGTCTGCACTACTGTTGTCTAAACCTGTGTTGTCTGCACTACTGTTGTCTAAACCTGTGATGTCTGAACTGCTGTTGTCTAAACCTGTGTTGTCTGCACTACTGTTGTCTAAACCTGTGATGTCTGAACTGCTGTTGTCTAAACCTGTGTTGTGTGAACTACTTTTGACTAAACCTGTGTTGTGTGAACTACTGTTGTCTAAACCTGTGATGTCTGAACTGCTGTTGCCTAAACCTGTGTTGTGTGAACTACTGAACTACTGTTGTCTAAACCTGTCTTGTCTTAACTACTGTTGTCTAAACCTATGTTGTCTGAACACTTTTGCCTAAACCTGTCTTGTCTGAACTGCTGTTGTCTGAACTACTGTTGTCTGAAATGCTGTTGTCTAAACCTGTGTTGTCTGAACTGCTGTTGTCTAAACCTGTGTTGTCCGAACTACTGTTGTCTGAACCTGTGTTGTCAGAACTGCTGTTGTCTGAACCTGTGTTGTCTGTACTACTGTTGTCTGAACTACTTTTGTCTAAACTGCTGTTGTCTGAACCTGTATTGTCAGAACTGCTGTTGTCTGAACTACTGTTGTCTGAACTACTTTTGTCTGAACTACTTTTGTCTAAACTGCTGTTGTCTGAACTACTTTGTCTAAACCTGTGTTGTCTGAACTGCTGTTGTGTGTTTTAGTTCTCCATGAGTCAGTGAGCACAGGTGACCCTGAGCTGGTTCAGATGATTCTCCAGCACAGGGACTACCAGAGGTACACAAAGAGGACTGTTGGTGTACCTGAGCTGCTGCAGAAACTCAAGGAGGTGAGTTCCCATGGGCATCCAATCACCTCTAGTTGGTCCGGTAGTTGTAGATTGGGTGGCCAGAACAACTGTTTAGGATTGCAGGCCATTATTTATGAGGAGGATGTTGACTACTGGTGTGCATAGACATAATGATATTTTGTACCTACACAGCTGCGAATTTCCCAGACATAGCTGTTTACTGATACCAAGAACTAATTATGTTTCCAAATAACCAGAACCTGTGAAGATCCAGATTAGAATTGGTCTTCAGCAACCCATGCTTGTCGTAAGAGGCAAATAAAGGGATCGGGTTGTCAGACGCACTGACTTGGTTGACACATGTAATCATATCCCAACTGCATAGATCAATGCTCATGCTGTTAATCACTGGATTGTCTGGTCCAGAACTGATTATTTACAGATCGCCTCCTTATAGCTGGACTATAGCTAAGTGTGGCGTTAAACACCAAATATACCAACAAAACAAATCCAGATAACCAGGACATATGCTTCAGTTGTACCAGATAGTCCAACTCTAATCACTTCACTTATGCTTTCACACTGGTGCTGGCACATGGAAATTAACAGTGCTAATGCGCTGGACCACACCCAGATGCTGTGTCTGTGAAAATCCTCTTATCATGTCACTATGATTCAAGTTATAGTGTCAGTTCCCGGAGAGAGACTAGAAATCAATAAACCTACCAGCTGACAGACATAGAAACTAATCCCCTGATAGGCTTAGGAAATGTTTGACCTTCCACCATGTTCAAACAATATTATAAATGCTGCCATATTGTGTCAATAATTTTTATCATGAATCTGCGTTATATGAGATGAACCATTTTTGACTATTGATTTATTTATATGTTTGTAATTTGAAAATTGCTGGTAATTTTATCCATCTATGGATTCAATTTTGTCACTTTCCTTTTATAGTTTATATATTAGCTGATTTTTTATCTTTGTTTTTTTTAAAAATGTTTTTTTATGTTTGAAATGTGTGATTTTCCGTCATGCTCCATTGAAATTGTTGAAGATATGTATACATGAAGTTGTATACATGGGCCTTCGTATGTCAGAATTTGTATTCTTTTGTGACTGTTTTGGAAATTTAAAAATTTTCGGAAATGATACAAGATGTATTGAGAAAATATTGCAATTTGACATAAGTTTGCATTTGGCTGATTTAAATAAGGCTTTCAAGACTTTTATTTGTTTTGTAATAAGGTAAAAAAATTGGCAGAAAGAGTCACTTATTAAAACTTTACACAAGGTAAATTTGTTTTCTGAAAATTTTGATAATGATGAAGTTTTGTGTTTCACTAAAACATGATCACGGTTGTCAGGTGACCATGATCGAACGGTGTGTCATGGCGTGGGAGGAAATCTGAAGTGTAGGAGTTAAGATCCATGGGTATAGTGCTGAAAGTGATACTGGGACATCTGAACTTGCCTTATTCAACACATAAAAACTCAATTATTTACGTACCTGGGTCCCAGTCCACAAAGCGTTCGTAAGCCTATGGTAAACTATAGAGTTATGACTGGTCGTAATGTTACAAACGCTCCATTGCAGGGATCAAACTGGTATCATTGTAAGGATCACTTCTAAGCATGTGGATTGGTTGGTTAAATATGTTTTCTCTTAATAATAATTGCTATCCATATTTTTCAGTCCCCCGACTTCTACGTTGAAATGAAGTGGGAGTTTGCCAGCTGGGGTAAGTGACATCTCAATCTCAGAATGTAATGACTCTGTATGTGCCCCTTATGTATGAATATAGGGATGTAAACGCCTTTCTAACTAGACCGTGAAGATGAGTTTCAGAACGCATGCTTGTCATAAGAGGCAACTAATGGGATTGTGTGGTCAGACTCGCTGACTTGGTTGACACATGTCATCATATCCCAATTGCGTAGATCGGTGCTCATGCTGTTGATCACTGGAGTGTCTAATACAGTGTGATTTATGTCACAAGCATGTTGATGAATGATTATTTACAGACTGCTAGTGAGGCTTAAAACAGCAAACAAATGTTCTTTATGATAATAGTTTTCGTCACACAATACCTGTCATAAGTAGCTCCCCATTTTCAAGATCAGCTCAAAACCTGTGCAGACTGTATGAACTGAGAGGCAGAGTAGGTCCCCATAGTCTGTCTGACCTGGTTATCTACAAACCACAGAGTGATGTCACTTTATATCAAAGATTGCTTCAGATTGTGATACTTCATCAACATGTAGCACATGTTATATTTGGGATTACACTTTCTCAATAAAGTACAGATTCAACCCAACAAAAGTACGTTGGGTTGAGTCCCACCTGGGATTCAAACCCACAACCTCAGGGACTCAACCCAACAAAAGTACTAGAATCTGTACTTTACTTAGAAAGTGTAATCCCAAATATAACGTGTTACATTTGACCAATTTCTAAATGGCATTGTGTATTTCATTTATCAACATGTTTGTGAGAAATTTATCAACATGGTCACTTTGGTCCTTTTCCATTACTCCATAACATGCTGAAACTTCCATCTTGTCAGTTCTTCCCCAAGGAAGTAATAGATCTTCTCTCCTAATTTCAGGCAACTGGATTCTTTTTTATATATTCCTCCTTGGGGTACTTATTTTAAATGTCCATTTAAAATCCCTACGACAGTTGTAACAATATTTGAATAAAATATTTACAAAACAAAAACTACGTTTTGTCTTGTGAGACCACCCTTACAGGGCCCTACGGCCCCCTACAGCCAAGAGCAGGTAACTCTAGACTATAACCTCGTACCTCACTTTCACCGGCTAGACGTCAGTCCACTTCGACGAAGTTAAATTTCCCTAAGCGACTATGAGTGTTTCAGAAATAGCTACTGTATGTATGGTTCTTGTTTTTCCCTGCATGGGCGATTTGGAGATTTGTTCTGAATATTTTCATTCATCTTTTTGGTTGTAACTTGGTACCTGTCACTGTCGGCTCGCCAGGTGCGTGTCAAGATGGCGGACAGGTCCCTTCGCTATCCTCATTGTTCATTGGCTTCCCATGTGGTTTGCAATGTTTAGTGTGGTTATAGTGTTTTATTTGTATGTTATTACATGTGGGGCGTTGTTTACGCTGCTAGCATTTTCTTTATATATGCTATCAGTCGTAATTGTTAGTTATGTTGCAGTGTGTCTTACTTGTTATTATCAACTTCATGCTTACATTATCGCATTAGTTGTGGTCGCCCATGCGTGTTTTTTCATATATATATGTATGTATGGGTAGGTTACTGCACGGTTTTTATCACTTGTTGCAGTTTAAATCCTGTACTTCGTGCCTCGCTGCTATACCCGTGAGGGACACTCACGAGGTGTGCTTGCGATGCCTGATGGAGGCTGATCATGAGGAGACGGGTTTTCCAGCGTGTGCTATTTTTACCCCTAAGACTATTAAGTCCAGGCGGGTGGATAGGCTGTTTTACAGCAATTTGCTTCGGTCGGGGGGTGATATCTGGGTCCACTATTTCACAATCTGTCGGCTCTTTCCCTCCAGCTGTTATCGTGGAAGACGGCTTTTCTTGTGGCGGTAACTTCAGGCAGGCGGGTAGGCGATATTCACGCAATGTCGGCCGATCCCGCGCTCACTGTTTTTCACCAAGACAGAGTTAGCATACGGCTGCCTGATACTTACCGCCCTAAGAAAGATAGTCCCTTTCATGTGACAGCGCCTATTGAGCTCCCGGCTTTCACTCAGCCTTCCCTGTCCGGTACCTCTCTATGACGTGCTCACATCTTAGATGTCCGTAAGACCCTTAAGGCTTATATCAAGCGAACAAGGGGTATCTGTAAGGATAACCAATTGTTTTGTTGTTATGGCGGGGTCAAGGCTGGTCTTCCGGCGACCAAGCAAACCATATCTAGGTGGCTTGTCTCTGCCATACATATGAGCTATACTCACACAGGTCGTATCCCGCCTGTAGGTTTGAAAGCTCATTCGGTTAGGGCAGTTGCTACATCGAAAGCTTACGCTGCAGCCCTGCCCATTGAGGAGATCTGCTCCGCGGCTATTTGGAGCCGACCGAGTATGTTCATCTGTCATTACCAACTTGAAAGACTCTCCAGTGAACGTGCTCGGTTCGGTCAGTCAGTTCTCTCCAGTGGGCATGGTTCCACCTCTTGAGCTTTCGAGGATTTTATGACATGAACCATTATCTGCCGATTTTAACTGGTGTTGGGTTTTTAAAAACTTTTACCTATTCCCTTGGTGACGGGTTTTTATGTGGTGATGGTTTTTATCCCCATGTCTTTTGCATTACTCCGTTCTGCTCTAGACTTATTTGCCTTGGAAACCTTTGCTTAATAGAAGTATTACGGCATTTTGTTTCTTGGGGCTTATTGCGGGATTCCCTTATCTTCACTTCCGATTGATTACGTGAGGGAGGGGGGGTTTATCTCGGCTGTTTACATTAGCGAGGTTTCGCATTGTAATTATAATGTGTTCGACCCTGACCCTGGCTCATGCCCCCGCCTGATTGGCTATGGTGGACACGTGACCGGGTAAGTGAGCTTTTTCCTGCTATTTTTAGAGTGGTGTGTGTGTGTGTGTGTGTGTGTGTGTGTGTGTGTGTTATGTGACAGAATGCCACTCCTTAGCTCCGTCTTTAGGAGTCTGTCTTATGCTTATAAGTACCCCAAGGAGGAATATATAAAAAAGAATCGATCTAACCTGTAGAGGTTTCAGATTCTTTGAATATATTCCTCCTTGGGGTACGGCTCCGCCCACCCCCACATTCTGTCTGATTTCGTTCAGCATGGAAAGTGAGGTACGAGGTTATAGTCTAGAGTTACCTGCTCTTGGCTGTAGGGGCCGTTAGGGCCCTGTAAGGGTGGTCTCACAAAACGTAGTTTTTGTTTTGTAAATATTTTATTCAAATATTGTTACAACTGTCGTAGGGATTTTAGATGGACATTTAAATGGTTATAAGTACCCCAAGGAGGAATATATTCAAAGAATCTGAAACCTCTACAGGTTAGTTCGAATTTAATATATATTTTTTTCTTAGTTACTATTTGACTATGTGAACCATGCTGATATTTTGGTTTGTTTGTTCCAGTCCCCCTGATCTCTCGCATGTGCCCTAGTGACACATACAGGGTGTGGAAGAGTGGTAAGTCACAGTCATGGTACCTGTTTGTTTTAACCAGACCTAGATCACCTTCGTGGTGTAGTGGTTAAAGCGTCCGCCCAGAGGCGGAAGGTCGCGGGTTCGATCCCCAGCCATGTCATTCCAAAAGACGTTAAAATATGGTACTTGTTGGTCCCTGCCTGGCTCTCGGCATTACTGGGTACAACAAGGACTGGTCGGCTCGGAGTCAGTATAATGTGTCTGAGTGGTGTGTTCATGCTTAACTGCGGCATGGTATCTTAGTGAGCTAGCACTATAAAACCAGCTTAAGTCTGGGCTAGTCAAGCAGCCACATATACCCACACATGCACATCGTCATATGAGCGAAATATTCTTAAGTTTGACGTTAAACCCCATTTCACCTCACCTTTAACCAGACCTAGTTTTAGTGCATCAACTTCAGCTGCCTCAACATTTCTGTGGATCCAACAAGAGAAGATATAATGCAGTTATTTATGATTATCTGGATGGGCACCTTGTGAACTACCGGTAATATGCACTCTAAAACTTTAAACCCCATGTCTGAAATGACAGTTACAGTCAAGAGCACTCTGAAGCAAAAGAATCAATACATTTCAGCAGCTATAATTCCTGTTCAAATCATCTTTGTAGTCATGTTAACTCATTAGTCAAATCAATAATGATGACTTACATCTTCTTGCTAAGCATTCAGTGACCTCACCTAGGAAATCTTCCCCTCCACATAAACATGTTTTAATGAGAAGGAAAACTAAGTTCTATGGATAGTCAACTTCTTTGTTGCAATGAGTGCGACGTTTCGGTGTAGGTACTAACTCCGTTATCAAGCAAGTGATACAACAATTTGAAGCAAGGAGAATATATACATTGCTGCATTGTGAGAACATTGGATATTTGATAAGTATATAATATCCTATGTACATCAACCTTGTTAATTGTATATACTCAGCAATGTATAATTCTCCTTGTTTCAAACTTCTAAAATGCCTCTCAAAGAAATTAATGTTTTATTTAATATCCTGTACTTGAAGCCGGTGGGGTAGCCTAATGGTTAAGGTATTTGCTCGTCACGATTAAGACCCGGGTTTGATTCCCCACATGGGCACAATGTGTGAAGCCCATTTCTGGGGACCCCGCCATAATATTACATGAATATTGCTAAAATAGGTGTGAAACTAAGCTCACTCACTCACTCACTTTACTTGAAGCAAATGCATCATAATGACACACTGTCTGTGATTCTTAACAGGAATCAATCATCTAATAAATCTGTTTTGTAAATATGTGTGTTGAATCTTGTGTGTTTCAGGTTCCAATGTCCGTATCGACACCACACTGTTGGGCTTCGACAACATGAACTGGCAGCGGGGCAGCCGAAGCTACATATTCAAGGGGGGAGGTATGTAACACCATGGGACAGAAAGGGTTGTGGGTGATGTAAGCTTGCAGGGACATGATCAGACTTCACATGAGGATGGGTGCAATGTGTGAAGCCCATTTCTGGTGTCCCCTGCCGTGATATTGCTGGAATATTGCTAAAAGCGGCGTAAAACCATACTCCCTCACTCACATGAGGAAATATGGCTGGGCAAAAATACTGCATTTTAACATTGTTTGTCCATTGTGTTTTTGTTACAAAATACATAGGTAATGTCAATAAAGGGTTTTTTTTAACAGAAGTAGCATTTGGGTGAATGTATAAAAGAATATGCCACAGTTGTCAAGTGATTTAGAGATTGCATTTTTCTTGTTAGCTTATTATTTCTTCAGATGAATGTTTCGTGTTTTGTTGTATGAAAATGGGATGTAGTGACTATCAATATCACCAGTGTTTGCTGACTACAGGGGACAGAGCGACTGTGATGGAGATAGATCACGATCAGCGCGAGGTGTACAGCGAGACGATGAAGATCTCTCCGTCCATGCCTGACTCCTCTATCATGAGACCCTCGGAGGCTGCCATCGCTGCCAGACTCACTTCCCCCATAGTCACCACCTACATAGATACTGAGAAAATCTCATTTGAGAGGTCAGTATCTTTCATACACATACAATAACTTTATAACAGACTCACTTCCCCCATAGTCACCACCTACATAGATACTGAGAAAATCTCATTTGAGAGGTCAGTATCTTTCATACACATACTATAACATTATAACAGAGTTACCTCCCCCATAGTCACCACCTACATAGATACTGAGAAAATCTCATTTGAGAGGTCAGTATCTTTCATACACATACTATAACATTATAACAGAGTTACCTCCCCCATAGTCACCACCTACATAGATACTGATAAAATCTCATTTGAGAGGTCAGTATCTTTCATACACATACTATAACATTATAACAGAGTTACCTCCCCCATAGTCACCACCTACATAGATACTGATAAAATCTCATTTACTATAGAGGTCAGGGTGGATCTTTCATACAGCCGATACTATAACTCACACTTACCGTGTCCAACAGAGTAATTTTTTTATAATGTTTATGGTAAACATATGAATATGATATAGTGTTATAGTAGCATCAAGCACATGGGATTGTTCCAATAGTAGATATTTGTGTTTTAGTTATCCATGGAGAAGTTGAAACATCTGTAAGAGTTATGAATTCAGTCATCACAATATATTTCAGTTTCAGTCTTTCAGATGATGATGATGATGATTAGTGAGTGAGTGAGTTAATATTGAAAGTCACATTGGCAGTATTTCGGCCATATTGTGACTATGAGTGTTGTATATCAAAAATAAACTCAGGCAAAATAAATGATGATGTGGAATCTGCATTAAACCTCTATATTTATCTCTATCAGGTAACAGTAAGGTATGTGTGCCACTGACCTACTTTCTTCCAGGTGTTCAGTGCAAGCAACGTGGAACTGGTCACTAAAACACGTACAGAGCACCTCACGCAACAAGACAAGGAGAAATCAAAACGCAACAATAAAACGCCCTTGGAGTCCTTTCTTGGAGTAGCGGAGGAGCACACCAAAACCCAGGCTGCAACAAATGGGGTAAATGTAATGCCCAGTGCCAGTTTGGCAAGTTTATCTATTTTTTTAGGGCGGTTATAGTTTAACTCTCCAGAACACTAGAAGTTGTACCATGATCACAATAGTTTATGTGGTGTTTTGCGTCTTTGTTAATCTTTATACCACAAGGTGAGGCAGAAGGCTGATAGCATAAAGCATAATGCAGGACACATAAAACCACATATACCTGAAGTGATACCGCTACAATGAGTTTATCTTACCAAATAAATATAAAATTGATTTGATTGATGGTGTATGAGGAATTTATTCAATCGCTCAGAAATATATTTCAATCCCTGGCAGTTAACATTGTATTTTATCCTGGTCACACAAACATTCTGATATGTGGGTAAGATAAAGCAACTTGTATAGTCTTCTGGATGTCTCCTATCCTGTAATTAGAGTGTTTAACTCTTTCTGAGAAATGGAATTTTGATGGGTATGATATTGAGAACCTCTTACAGATTCTCAGACTGGCTTGAAAATGTAGAAATATTTTTTTATATTATATTTAGCTCACCTGAACTGAGTGTCATGTGAGCTTTTGTCATGATACCACCTGCTGTGGCATCAATGGGGCATTTTCAGCCTCAGTTCACATGGTCTTCTGAAGCTTGAATATAAGTGAGTGAGTGAGTTGGGTTTTACCCTGCTTTTAGCAATATCTCAGACAGGGACACCAGAAATGGGCTTCACACATTGTACCCATGTAGGTAATCAAACCCGGGCCTTCGGCGTGACGAGCGAACGCTTTAACCCTTTGGCTACCTCACCACGGTAATATAACCCAGTAAACACAGGGCTAAATATGTCAACAATACTAACTACATGGAGTAACTCATTGACAAGACTCTGTAGACAGCAATACCCTGCCCCCGGTTTACCACCAGTTTGAAAAGTGCTGGTAGTTATCAATGGTCACATCACATCATATTAGTGAAATGTGGGAGGAAAATCCCAAGTGGATCAGGATGTAGAAATTACCTACTGTAGCAGGAAACCAACAAGAATGGGTGCGATGCTGTCCCACTAATCTACATGGTCTAATGTGAGTGTTTAAAATACCCACCTCCCTGACCTGATGATGTTTTTTGCTTGACCAGTCATCTTTTCAAACATGCAGGTCTGATGGTCTGAATGATATTCTTAGCAAATATGGTTAATAAAATAAAGGCTATGATCTTCTGTCTTAACAAAGTGGCTGTAAACTTGCAATAGTTATTCTAAACCGATCAACGATTCATGATCAGCGGATGATGCTTTATGGCAATTGTATTGACTTTAACTATTATTGTTCAGTCCAGTGTTAAAACATTGGAAACTAGATCTTTCCTGTTGATTTTCCTTGCTGGTCAAGCTGCCTGGGGGAAATATCTGTCTACATTTGTTTGTTTGTTTGATGCCACTTGGGGATGTGGGTTAGCCTTGTGGGTAAAGCACTGGCTTGTCACGCCGAAGACCCAGGTTCGATTCTCCACATGTGCGCAATGTGTGAAGCCCATTTCTGGTGTCCCCCACTGTAAAACCATACTCTCTCACTCACTTTAATGCCACGCGCAGCAATATTCCAACTATATGGGTTGTAAATAATCAAGTCTGGACCAGACAAGCCAGTGATCAACAGCATGAATACAATGACATGTGTCAACCAGGACAGCAAGCCCGACCACCCGATCCCGTTAGTTGCCTCTTACGACTAGCATAGGTTGCTCAATTCTAACCTGGATCTTCATGGGTTTTTTGAACACTACTAATGAAGAGGCCGCAAGATTGTATATTTTGAAATGGACTCGGCACCTGAACAGAATACCAGGAGCTTTACAGGATACAAGAGTACTAATCATCGTTTCCTTCTGTTCCACAGATATCATCAGTGTCTTATAATCCCTGTTCCATCACACCAGAGGAATATTTCAATAAAATGATCGACCTTGAGGAACGTGACATCGGTCGCCCAATCGAACAGGCAACAAAGACCCAGAAGTTCAAGGCCACCTTGTGGTTGTGCGAGACATTCCCTCTATCCCTGCAGGAACAAGTGGTGCCCATTATAGATCTGATGGCAGCTAGCAATGCCCACTTTAAGAAGCTTCGAGACTTCATCACTCTGCAGATACCAGCTGGCTTCCCAGCAAAGATTGGTAAGACAGGAACTGAATCACTATGTATGTCGCCATAAGGGTCAGATAGGGTAGTCCAGAGGTTAGTGGGTTTTTTCTTGACAGGCTACAGACATTGCTTTGATATCATGGTGGGTTTGTGACCATGGGGAAAAGTATTAGGTTTGAGGGTTTTCCTTTTCAAAAGTACCAGTAGTGGTGTGTGGCCCTGTGCATAGACTTGACTCGTGTGGGTTTCTAGAACTTCAGTCTTGTCCCACAACGACGCACACGTGACTCGTGGTCTCACCCTAGGCAAGTGAGTTTGTTCATAAATTTCCTCTATTCACCCAGCAGTGAATGGGTACCCGGTGTGATAAGTCATATGACTGTTAACCTTCTAGCACCTCACAGGCTGCTTTTGTTATCTGGGGTAAAAATGTGTTAGCGCCTTCAGCATACACAAGTGTGAGGAAACCAGTGCTTTATTAATACCCATAATGAATATCTGATGAATTGATCAATACAAGCATATCAACTATAATATATACAACAAAACTAGCTCCTTTGACCACATGATCTCTGTTATATCATAACCACAATTACTGCTGTGGGAGCTCTCACATAATAAAATGAAGTCTTTAGTAAGTAAATTTATTCCTAAGAAATTATCTTCAATAAAGACAGTTTTGAAATGTTTTGTTGGAAAGGAAACTAACTTATTACAGTTTATTTGGAAGCTCAACAAGCATATGGTTATAGCAGAGATGTTGGCTGTCTAATCTTAATACACTTTACCACTGTTTACCATTATGTATTATTTCAGAGATTCCACTGTTCCATGTCCTGAATGCCAGAATAACATTCGGCAACATCTTTGCAGATGGAGTCATCGGTGGAGGGTGTGTCCTGCATCCAAGATGAGGAAAGTGCGTGTGTTGTAGACGATAACTGTTTTACCCCACCGCCAGGGTACGGTCGTCTAGGTGAGCACATAATACTGTTGACGAGTTCACTGACTATTGTAGGGACAATATGGCCCATAAGTAGGTCACAGCACTTCGTTAAACCTTAGTACTTCCGGTGACAAACGTTTCATACCTTTTCAAATGGTGTCATGGTTGTCAATTAACAGTAAGAAACCAATAATCTGTGCAGGAATAAAGAATTTCCGATCTTACCATCCCCAAATTAGCCAACTATTATGACTGTCAATGGTTGTGACAGACAAGCATGGTTGTACACTTGGTTCGGTCTAGTAAAGTCAACGCGAGCCAAGAACCAGCTTAGTATAGGAAGTATCACCTTACGAGACTTCCAGGCCCTATTAATCACCTTAGGATACACCACATTATAACATGTGTGAACATAGTAGTATCTACTTGGTTAGTTGTTCATCTGTTTTCAGTCTGTTGAGGGAGAGGACCAGTGAAGATCCGGGTTAGAATATTGATCTTCAGTAGCCCATGCTTGTCGTAAGAGGCGACTAACGGGATCGGTTGGTCAGGCTCGCTGACTTGGTTGACACATGTCATCGGTTCCTAATTGCGTATATCGATGCTCATGCTGTTGATCACTGGATTGTCTGGTCAAGACTCGATTATTTACAGACCGCTGCCATATAGCTGGAATATTGCTGAGTGCAGCGTAAAACTAAACTCACTCACTGAAGGGGGAGAGGGAAACTGCCTTCCATTGACCAAACATATTCATTTCTTGTGAGATTGTTTTACGAAAAAAATGTTTCAGTTACTAAATGTAAGATGAGTGGTAACCATGGTAACTATATCTTTAGGTGACGCCCACCATTCAAGACTGAGAGATGAAGATGATGAACTCCTTCAGTTTGCAATACAGCAGAGCTTGATGGAGGCAGGCACAGAGAATGATCAGGTATGCTGACTCCTTAAGACCATGGCCTGCAGATGTATCAGGGGCACTACTTGTCCTTTAGACCATGGTCTGTAGATGTATCAGGGGCACTGCTAGTCCCATAGACCATGGTCTGTAGATGTAGCAGGAGCACTACTAGTCCTTTAGACTGTGGTCTGCAGATGTATCAGGGGCACTGCTCGTCCTTTAGACCGTGGTCTGCAGATGTATCAAGGGCACTGATAGTCCTTTAGACCATGGTCTGCAGATGCATCAGGGGCAGTGTTCACGAATAGCGTCTGACCATCTGACAAATCCGGCAGATTCGCCAACGGTCAGACAGAAGTCTACAACCCGCCGGCCCCAGTGTCTGACTGTATATTTCACAATGACTTTGACTGAAGTTGTTTTATATGACATGTGACACTTGTTTGCTGTTTATAAATCTTATGTTTGTTAATAATTTCAATGTCAATTATAAGAAATATTAAATCTAAAATGTGTGTTTAATTTTATTCCCTGTGTCCTGTGCATTTTCAATGGGTCAGAGAGACATTTGAAACTTACAGGACCCAATGTCCTGTGACTTTGAAACACCATTCGTGAACACTGATCAGGGGCACTGCTAGTCCTTTAGACCGTTGTCTGCAGATGTATCAAGGGCACTGCTAGTCCTTTAGACCATGGTCTGCAGATGTATCAGGGGCACTGCTAGTCCTTTAGACCATGGTCTGCAGATGTATCAAAGGCACTGATAGTCCTTTAGACCGTGGTCTGCGGATGTATCAGGGGCACTGCTCTTCCTTTAGCCCATGGTCTGCAGATGTATCAAGGGCACTGATAGTCCTTTAGACCATGGTCTGCAGATGTATCAGGGGCACTGCTAGTCCTTTAGACCATGGTCTGCAGATGTATCAAAGGCACTGATAGTCCTTTAGACCTTGGTCTGCAGATGTATCAGGGGCACTTGTAGTCCTTTAGACTGGTCTGCAGATGTATCAGGGGCACTGCTCTTCCTTTAGACCATGGTCTGCAGATGTATCAGGGGCACTGATAGTACTTTAGACCATGGTCTGCAGATGTATCAGGGGCACTGCTAGTACTTTAGACCGTGGTCTGTAGATGTATCAGGGGCACTGCTAGTCCTTTAGACCATGATCTGTAGATGTATCAGGGCACTGCTAGTACTTTAGACCGTGATCTGTAGATGTATCAGGGGCACTGCTAGTACTTTAGACCATGGTCTGTAGATGTATCAGGGGCACTGCTAGTCCTTTAGACCGTGGTCTGTAGATGTATCAGGGGCACTGCTAGTACTTTAGACCGTGGTCTGTAGATGTATCAGGGGCACTGATAGTACTTTAGACCGTGGTCTGTAGATGTATCAAAGGCACTGCTAGTCCTTTAGGTCTGCAGATGTATTGTTATCATTTGGCTAAGAGTAGGATCCTAGTGGTTCGTCCACAGACACACACTCAGTGAGTTACTGATGAAATACTAGTCATATCAGTGTTAAACTCAGCTTACTCACTCCCTGACTCTTATCCAAGGTGACATTCTGGGAGGCCCTGAACAAGACAACTCCCCCAACAGGTCCAGCTCGGGAGGAGGAGGAACGCCTGCTACAGAGGTAAGCACTGCCTATAGGGATGAACTGATTCATCCAGCTCGACCAACTGTCCATAGGCAGGAGTGCTTTAATGGTCAGTTGGAATTGTTAACATTTATGGTGGCCCGTGGTACTGGAACACCATGATAGATGATAAACACTATTGCCATACTATTGATGTTGTAGTAATGAATGTCCTCAATGTCTTCAATGTCCTGAGTGTTTTTGTAATTACTGTTTAATGTTGCATGAACAATGTCGCAGTTACCTGTGGCGATTTGAATGGACATCAGCACGTCTCTTCCAACAAAATTCAGATATTAATCAAAACAAATGTGAAAGCAAATGCAGGATTGTAAGTCTATTTATTATTACATTGGTGCGGTGGGGTAGCCTAGTGGTTAAAGTGTTCGCTCATCATGCCGAAGACCCAGATTTTATTCCCCACATGGGTACAATCTGTGAAGCCTGTTTCTGGTGTCCCCGCTGTGATATTGCTGTAATATTGATAAAAGCAGCGTAAAACTCAACTCACTCAATATTATTACTTAATTATTGCTACATTAAAACTGCCTTCAGTAGTCACCCTCTCATAAGACATGATGTCCCAATGGCACACAATCATAATGCTCTTGGGTTCACTGAAATTACATTTGGGGCACTGTAAACATCTGCTAGTAAGTTAGAATGACATATATATAGCACAGTGTAGGTAATGATACACGTTTTCCCTCTGCAGAGCGATAGCGGAGAGCCTGAGACAGAATTCTGGGCTTGAACCCAGTGGCCCTGTGGAAATTAGTCAGCCTCGTTCCTCACTGAATGATGAAGAAGTGCAGCTGCGTCTGGCCCTGGAATTGTCACAGAAGGAATCGGAAGAGTCCGTCAGACGTCGAAAAGAAGAAGAAGAGCAGTTAGAAGCAATCATAAAATTATCCCTTACCGACAAATGATGGGTGTTAGATCCACACTTTTACCTAGTCCAACTTCCTAGCAGAATAAAGGGGACAGCTTCATAGACAAACGAGCTTATCAGAGCAGTTTCTGGAATAGTTGTTGCCAGTTATGGTGCCCAAATTTGTGTGAATTGAGTTATAAATTTGTGACTTGTTCATGGCTTTTCATGATTTGTCCACTGATTTTGAACGCTGTGTTTTAGAGATGTAGGAGAGTTCCCAATTACAATTTAAACAGATCTTCTTCTTCCACAGAAGTGTATGTATGGAAATTTGACATATGCATGAATGAGTCTGCACATTTTATTTTGTACAATTTTTGTTACATCTGAGACAACAGCGTTTGTAATATTAAGTGTCTTTATGCAGAGATTGATATTGCCGCTATGGCTAATATTTATAGTCAATAACTGGATGTTGTTTGTGGACAATTTGAGCTTGACAAACGATAAATGATCCTTAAATAAAATAGCTTACTTTCTGTTTTTTGAGTTGAAACATCCAAGATAAATGAACAATTGTTAGAGATAAACATTGGAGGTGATGAGAGTAAATCGGTTCGATGAGAGTGGATCAGTTCAAAGCCAGTCTTGGTGGCTAAACTGTCAAGGGAGACAACCCATGGCAAAGCCAGTCTTGAGCAAGTAGTCTGTGAGAGGTAATCATTGTCCTCCCGGTTCGTTTCAAGATGTGACAAATGACTAACACAAGACAGAAGATGTTTTAATGCCTTTTTTATCACACAGCTAGGTGATGGTATCAATGGTGTATCATATGTATATTCTGAGTACATTATCAACAGATTTGTTATCTTTTCACACGTGCCATGGAATTTCCTTTGTCAATAATGAGGATTTTCCATTTGCAGAATTGCTGGAACTCTGACCTGTACCTTATTAGTAGTTGGTTTCTCATTAGGGAGCCAGTCACATGCTCTCTTGCATATCATTGTCTGGTAGGTTGACCATCAGTTTTCTCTAAATCCATTTGCAATCGTTTCCCTTTTTTGGCAGGCGATACATGTACCTGGGAATGTATTTGGCAGGTGATAGAAGTAACTGTGAATGAACTTGGTTATATAATCTCATGGTGTTGGTTATATAATCTCATGGTGTATTTTGCTATTTACAACACCACAGGTTGACAAGCCTGTGTACTCTGCTATAGCACATCTATAGCAGGTTGTCACATTTGATCTGACACTGTCACCTGTCAATCATCATCACCTGTCATTTGTCCCATTGACATGGTTTTTTAGGTGATGATGGAAACAATCATTATAAACTGCTCCTATCATGATGGACATAAGGAAGTAAATACTTTTTCATAAAACTTAAAATTAAAAATTCTGTTGGCACATGCACCATTGTCATATGCCAAATAGGGAAACGATTGCATTTACTGTTCTATGAAAATGCACAAAATCTAGTAATTAAGATTCTAACTCTCTACATACTTTGTGTGGTATAGATAAACCAATTCTGGCAGTGGTGATATGTCTGCATATAGGTGATTGGCGGTTATAGGTTTTGTTGGTTTTGTTCCTGTTTTTGCAAGGGTACTGATATTACCATCATGATTATTTGCAGATTCATTTCTGGTTGAAAGTTTACAATATAACCTAATGTATTGGCACAGAGTTGAAAGAGCTCACATGTATTCTACTTAAAGAGATGTATATGTAAAATCATTTTTAAAACTGGAAATATTCCAAAGGCTGGACCAATTTATTCTAGTTTATTTACAGAAAAGACAATCTTTAATTTTAGAAGTACCAAATCTGTTACAATGCATAGTTTATTTTAGAGAATTTTTAGGAATATCTGACAAGAATCATGTAATAAGCTTTCTTTCAGAATTTCTTAAATACTTTGCCATTTAATAAGTGATTTTTATTTCTATGACATCCGTTGGAAAATAGGGGTTAAACTATATGCTCTTATCATGGTACAGTACGTATTGCGGTACTAGGCCTTCGGTTCGGTTTGATCTGTTTCTGTTCAGTTTATGAGATATGATCATAATGCAGAAAATTTACAAGAAGAGCCAAACCTAACATTGTTTGATAACATGGATTAAAAATAACCATAATCTTTGTTATTTGAATGAACAAGACTGTCATATTATGACTAGATAGAAATGACGGTACGAAAAACGAAAATACCGATTTTTGGATTGCATTACAGTATACCGAACCGAAGGCAAAATTACCGCAGTATACCGTTTCACCTCTATTGCAAAAGTCTTGGGGACCCAGTCATTGGCACAATTCTCCGTGAAGAGTTACCTCCCTTAAACAAGCCAGAAACATTTGTTGAAGTTATTTAACCATATTCGACCTGATCATGTCTAGGTTTACAGGCAATGTATCCATGTTTGTGGGTTCCACCTAAGTGGTAAACGGCAATGATTTACATCACTTCAGGCTTTCCTGCCACATTGTGTTAAACCACACTAGGGGCGGTGGGGTAGCGTTACAGCGTTTGCTCGTCAGGCTGAAGACCCGGGTTCAATTCCCCACATGTGAAGCCCATTTCTGGTGTCCCCTCTGTGATATTGCTGGAATATTGCTAAAAGCAGCATAAAACTAAACTCACTCACTGTTAAACCACACTCACTGGCATTAATATCAACAGCCAGGATTTTCTTCATTTCTTGATACATTAAAATATGGTACTTGTTGGTCCCTGCCTGGTGCTCGTCATTTATGGGTACAACAAGGACTGGTCGGCTCGGAGTCAGTATAATGTGTCTGAGTGTGATATTCATGCTTAACGGCTTCATGGTATCTAAATGAGCTAGCACTATAAATCATCTTAAGTCTGGGCTAGTACAAGCAGCCACACATACACACGCATGCACGTCTTCATATGAGCGAAATATTCTCAAGTACGATGTAAACCCTCATGTCACCTCACCTCATATCTTGATATGAGGATTTTTAGAGAGGAATTTTGCTAGAAGACAGAAAACTATAAAATGATAAGTCCTTTCTTGAATCATGATGCCTCCGTTCATGCAAAGACAGATTTTCTGTTACAGTCTGGGCTTTCTGACATTCATAACACAAACTGAGATCTTATTACAAAAATCAAAAGCCAACAACTTTACATGGTAGGGTCTGTAAAATACTGGATAAGTTAGGTCTAGCCTTTCATGACTCGATACGTTTGTAGCTTTACAGATGTTAATGATTTGTTTGTTTCATATGACAAGATGTTGATAGTTTGAATTATCCAAACATAGCTGGAATGCAATCCTTATAGATGTACATTTCAGAGTCGTGTCAATGTCCTTGTCAAATGTGTATGCAAGTTTTCATAACAAATTGCTTGCTTTTGTGTACCGTAAGTATTGAAGCCTTTCAGTTGCATATCAAAACATAATGCAAAACACTGTGTATATATTCAAAACAATACACTGTATAGTATCAGTTGTTTTAAGTTGATGTGAAATTTTGTGACATATCTGGAGATACTCATGCAGTATCCCCTTGAATAAGGAAATGGTATGATCCATTCTTTAGAATGGATGATTCCATTCATTCATGAGGGGTATGTGTTTTTCTGTGTGAATTGTTAGTAATCTCCTTGGTTGTCATGTTGATTTCTGTTTAACAGCTAAAAAACTTATTTTTTATGTTTTCATTTATTCCAAATAAGGATCATGATAATATTCAGTTATTAATTATCTTTTTGAATGGTGTACAATTGTAGTTTTATTAGTTTTATGAACAGCAGCTATATTTCATTCACTCTTGCACTTGATTAATCATTATGATTTTGTGAAAAAGATATCAAAACAGAGTTTCCATATGTTTATGCTATTCTATTCCTCTAAAAATATTTAGGAATACGTTTCTCCTTTCTCCAATTTGTTTTAATCGTCTCTTTCATGAAATATTCCTTTGACCATTAAAGGAATGTTTATGTGTATGGAAGATGACTCCCTGTGTAACAAATTTAGTAATAAATTTAGTAAACTGGATTTTCATGTAAACAAAAGACACGTCCTAGGACAAAATGGCTCCTGTAACATGTAGCACTTAGTATACAATGTCAATGAGTATACTAAGTATAAAAAGTCTGTACACTAGAATACCATCTTTGGATCTTCCTGAGTCTGTGGTGAAGCCCATTTCTGGTGTCCCCACCGTAATATTTCTAGAATATTGCTAAAAGTGGCATAAAACTAAACTCACTCACACTCCAAAGTCTGAGACATAATGGAGGCCATTTGGCAAGGATGAAAGAAATTAGAATCAAAGGAGATCTCACAGACCGGCATCTGGATTCTTGCCTCTGTAGGTCTAGTGGAATAGGTTCTCGACAGCTCCTTTTGGCATCTTCATATGTTACAAGGGACATTTCTTCAGACTTAGTCTTTATTCCAGATATATGGCAATTTGGCAATTTCAGTGGGACTGTGATGATAAGTAAATAGTAATTCTTGCGTTCTGTCCTTCTCTGTTTTTGCTAATAGTTTGACTCATCACAAATGATAAACAGTGATGTTGCAATGTTTTGTAGTGGTCACATGTATTTATTCATTCTTAGTTATCCCACTTTTATGATTTCAATGTACAGCTGTTTTTATTTAATGCTTTAACTTATGTTTATGTTTACACTGGTGGTGTATATGTATTGTACATACTCATGGACAAAATTAAGGGAACAGCTAGCAGTTTGGTGGAAAGGTGTGAGTGATGGGTTTACTGTCAGTTGGCGGTCTTCCAGGCATATCAATGAAGGGGACAATGAGAGCAGGATTCACATAGTGTACCCATTGGGGATTGAACCATGTCCTTGTGTGATGAGCAAATGCTTCAACCACTGGGATAACTCACCACCCACTGAAGTTTTCCTACCTGTTACATGTAACTAATATCAGGTTCTCAAGGCAACCACTTACCGTCACATAATGGTGCAGTCACAATACTCCAGCTGTGACAAGGTCAAGGCCAGGCAACCTGGTGGTTGATAGCATGACCATCAACCTATGCTGTTGAGGTTATCTGATACTCAAACACACAGGTCAAATCTCTCAAATCTTTATTGATCAGAATCTTACATGAGATTAAATCTACTTTCAGATTCATATGTTCCCTTATTTAGTTCCATGAGTATATGTTACTTGCTTGAAGGTTACTATTATTTGCTTGAAGAGAAAGCGGCTTGTATGTTTGCATTAATTCCTTGTGTACATTATTGTTTGCATGTCAAAGTTTCAATGAAAACATCTACACATGTATTTTGACCATATTAATCAATTTTCTCCCAGGAAAAAAAAGAAAAATACAAACAGATTTTTTAAAATACAGTGGTATTTTCATTTTCAGTTATTAACCTTTGCTAAACTCACTCCCTCACTCAAACTTCAGTGTAGTTTGACACTGATTCTTGAAGAAGCACTATTTAGGAAGTGAGGTTTGTAGGAAAATATATTTTTGTCACGAAGTATAAACTGGATTTCTTAATAAGAAGTCAACTTCATATCATTTGCGTTTTTTAAATATGGACATGTTTGTTGATAAAGGCAAAGACTCATGACAGTCAATGTCTGTTCTCAGCTTAGGATAAGTTTTTGAATTGTTTTAATTTCGATTTGATTTATTTTATCTTGATTTTCAACACAAAGGCAGAGTCAAGTTTATGAAGCAATATATACCAGATGTGAGAAATCTGGCAGTGGTTATCATCGCAGGGAGGGATACTGAAACATATGGCACTGGAAGCATGGCCTGACAGCCAATGAGAATTGAGCTTTACTGATATTGTTGTGCTAAACCATCTTTCAGGGATGGCAATTTTCCTCTGATCCACAGATTTTTCCGATTTTATTTCAGATTGATCAATTCAACCCCCCATTCAATGACACAATACCAAGTTTTCAGCTGAAAATAGATTTTCCTGTTGCCATCCCTGATCTTTGAATATTGGTTTAGAACCAGATGTAGTACTCAGAAGAAGTTAAGGAACACCCTCTTTTCATGTCACAAGCTAATCAGTCAAGACTTCTGGGTATTGCAGCCTCCCTAGGTATTCTTAACTTGTTTTGAGCAGTATATACATCTGTGTTTGCTCATTCATCACTGGACACAAAAATATTCATGGCAGCATATATTTTATTTAGTATATCTCAAACGTTTTATGCAAGCAGCTTCGGAAAATAAATGTTTGTGGAAGCTTACAGAAATCCAAGAAAGGTCTCACTCAACTCTTTAATAACTCAACGTTTTGTTGTTTTTGAACCAGAAGGAAATGTTTCTTATGGTTCCAGTACAATTTTTTCATTGCCTCTTTGCATGTTGTGATTTATAAAATATGTGAGACAATATATCAAATGACAAGAACTAATAATTTGATGACTGCCCTGATGTGCTGCAGAATGTCTTCTCTTGCCTCTACAGCTGGTGTACATGTCGTAGTGATGGAAGTACTACCAGTTGTTACATCGATCACGTGTCCTAATATATCCCATGGTGCACTAGGACTCTAGATTTCACCAATTCTAGCAGGCCGTGGCATTTTGAACTGTCAGGCTATTCTCTCGAATGATAGCACGAATACCAGACTGTATATTGTGTATTTATGTATCTGTTAGTTCTTTGTCCATGGTCAGATAGACGTGAAGTTCCTATAATCCCTCTCACTAAGCGTGACACAGACAATATTCACTTTATCAATAACCATAATCCTCTCCCAGCTGTATCTCCTCTGCTGCTGGCTTCGCTCAACCCTTGCAATGAGATCTCTGTGCCTGTGACCGCTAAGCGTACCTACGTGTTGAATATCGTTCTCATGTCACAGCCAGCAAGGATACTCAAGGGAAGTAACTCTGTATTGTCATCACTGAGTAAAACATCACCTCAAGGGTGTAGAGTGTGTAGTCTGTACGAAAGTGATGCAAACATATTCACCAAACATGGTGCAACAAACATGAATTGTTCTT